GATTCAATTAATATATACTTTATATGTTGATTCTCAGATATAGTAAATGCCAATCAGACTACAGTTAACAACACTACTACAGAAAATAAAGGATATATTAATGGTATTTATATTTTTATAAATTGTTTATTCTTATACATTATTTGCCTCAATATGTTTCAAGTTTTAGTATTTTATACTATTTTGATTCAATTAATATATACTTTATATGTTGATTCTCAGGTATAGTAAATGTCAATCAGACTATAGTTAACAACGCCACTACAGAAAATAAAGGATATATTAATGGTATTTATATTTGTATACATTGTTTGCCTCAATATGTTTCAAGTTTTAGTATTTTATACTATTTTGATTCAATTAATATATACTTTATATGTTGATTCTCAGGTATAGTAAATGTCAATCAGACTATGTTTAAGAAGTTCACAGAAAAAACAATAATTATTAATGGTATTTATATTTTTTTTATAACTTTAGTGTTTAAATATATTATTTATTCCAATATATTTCAAATTATAGCTTTTTATATTATAATAATTGTAATTAATATAATTTAAAAATATGATTTTCAGATATGGTAAATGTTAATCAGATTAAAGTCAATAAGTCTTATCCAAAAAAGAAAGGAAATATTAATGGTAATTATATTTCAAATAAGTTTTTATTGTAAATATGAGATTTGGAGTGAGGGATCTATTGGTTATACTTATTATGTATTATTTTTCTACTTCTGTATTTGAGCAACTTTTCTATCTGAAATCTTACTCCAACAAAAAAAAAAAAAAAAGACTTGCATTATGGGTCTAGTTGATGCATTGAAAGAGATGTTTTTTGATTTTAATGGGGTTTTTATAATAATTGAGAGAAAGCAAATAAATATCTTTATGTGTTTTATTTTCTACTAGAAATATTGATTGGGCCAAAAACTGACAAGAAATATATATTTTTTAAAATTTTTAACAGATTTTAATCTGGTTAATGTGTATGAAAGTTCTTTTTTTGTTTTGTGTAGTTTTCTTGATTAATTGAACAAAACTGTGGGGGAGGAGGAATTCTGCCTTGGGTAAAATGCAAAGAAAATTACTTAAAATACACTTGTACTGTTATGGACCTTCATTACAAGGACATAGTTGACGTTTATTTTGTTGTGTCAAGCTTATAGAAATATCAAATTTTTCATAAATTAGATTACATTAGAAAATAATTTTACTAATTCTATATCACAGTTTTCTCAAATACCTTTAATGTTTTTTTGAACAGTGAATGTAGTTTCTTAGTCAAAAATTATTTTTGAAGAAATTTACTAAGGGGAAAACTAATGACCAATATTTTTACTAATATAGATAAAGTGGTTTGAAAATGGAATTGTTTTATTGTAATTATAAGTGGATTTATAGTTGAGGAAACTGCATCTATCTAATTTGAAATAGAATCCAAAGCATGTAAAATAGCTGGCTGGAGTTCCTCAAACAATATTACTGCATCCTGACGGTCAACCCATTGAATGGCACTTAATGTTTTTAGCTCTTGTTTCTAGAAAATTAGCTTCTATTGATATTTTCAAAATATTTTGCCCTTTTGGATATCCGAAAAATTTAAGCACATTTTGTATAGTGCCTATACATTTTCTAAACAACAGAACTTTGCAAATAAAAGTTACAGTCAAATTTATACAGTGGGCACTACAATGCAAGTATAATGTTTCTGGATATTTATCAATAATATATTTTTGGATGTCATTATACTTGCCACTCATGACTGCTGCGCTGTCATATCCTTGACCAGTTAAATATTGTAAGTTGAGTTCTAAACCAGTCATAGATTTTAGAATTATATCAGACAGTCCTTTACCAGACATATGAACTTTGCAAGAAGTTACTGCAAGAAGTCTTCTTGAATTTTTTTTCACACACATCTACATAACAAACTTAATAACATTTGTTCTTTATTTGAGATGTAGGTTGTTTCATCTGCCAATATAGTGAATGCTTTAGTATTATTCATTTTGTTTACTGATTACTTAAGAATTAATTTGGTATACATTAATATAATTTCGTTTTAAATCATTGGATTTAAATATGTTGCCTTTTTTGGCAAAAGTTACAACTCTAAGTGTATTGTCGGTAGAATCAATTCTAAATCAAATTTACTCCCTAAAATTCCCTTGATTGTGAGCACTACATTCTTTTTCCGCTTACAGAAAGTACTCCTGAATCCCTATGGTCTCTTAGTGAAATACTTTGCTATCCACAAAATAAAACACTTAATAATTGGATGAGAGTGAGTCCTATTTTCTTCAATTTATTTTTTTAATACTTCATTTATTTGTGTACATACCGAATTGACTTTTTTATTTTGATGATCCTTAAATAAATCTTTAGCTTTCTTTCAATTGTCATATTTTTCTACTACTAATTTTAGTTTGATAAGTACCTTTTCTTAAGCAGTCTGAAAGTGAGAACAAAACAAAGGTATAGCAGAAGGCACCATTATACATTTTAAAATAACAGAGTCATGGAAATTTGTGTGTCCAAGCTATTTGAAATTTCAAGTTCCTTTTCCCACCTTTAAGGAATTTATTATTAGATTCAGGAACCCATAAATTTCCCAAAACATCTTTTTTTTCATTATCAGACAACTACAAATGTACATTTAACTATTAATTAATATATATGGATTTATATGTATTAAGTATTTATACAATAAAACTATGTAGTAATGTGTAGGTATTTACACAGTGTCACTGCCATAGATAGAGCTATTATTATATACACACTACACTGAACTGGACTTATTTATTATTTGTGTAAACTGTTAAGTATAATAACACTTTATTATTTTTTCAAACTTAGTATTTTTTTTTTTAATTTTGAAGAAACTTCTGGATATTGTCCGTGATTTCACAGAGGTCTCATTTACGACCACTTTTTTTCTTAATATTTATAAATGATCTTCCTCTTATTTTAGATAACTTAATGAACATTTTAATATTTGCGGATAATGTTAAAATTTATTGTTTAACTAAATCTTCCAAAGATTTAAATTTGTTACTATCTAATTTAAATAATCTGGTATTATGGATTAAATGTAACTGTTTATCTTAAGGTATGATTAATGTAAAATTATAATTTTTTTTTTACTTTTTCTAGTAATAAATTCTTTTGAACATAATTATCTAATTAATAACTATCTTCTTAAAAAATATTATTCAATTACTAATTGTGGTATTTGTTTTGAATTTTATTTGTCCTTCAAATTAAATCATTTAATGGTTATCCATCATCACCTAAGATGTTAGACTTTACAAGCAAAAATAGTGAGAACCCTAAAAATTCTTTCTGTTTAAAAAATTAGTATAGTTCTTTAGTTAGATCATATTTAAAATTTGAATCATTTATTTTATTTTATTATTTAACTTATATTAATGATCTTGATAATGTTCATTATACATTTTTGAAAAGAATTGCAGGTGTAACTCATTACTCTATCTCTATTTCTTCCATTTGGTTCACAATTCTATAATTATTGATTTCCATACCATTAGGTGTGATTTAATCATAGATAATATAGATTGAATATGCCATGTTGCCTTATCACACATTCTCAAAGATTCTGTTCTAAGGTGCCTTTTTTTATTCCATGATACCAACAAATGTATTGACAGTTATATTACTCATTACTGACTTTTTTTAAAAAAAAAATTTTAAATAATATAACATAATTAATATAAACAAAATAATAATTATAATATTTTCACATCAGTGATGATGACAAAAATTATTAAGATAATCTTAGTTAATCTAACTATAGGCATGGCCTGTCCATTCTTTATTATCTATAGATTTAATAGATATAATGTTTATTTATGAAATTTTAAATGACTTCATCAATTACCCAGACTTTTTAAATTTATTTTGATTTAAAATCCCCATTAGAATTAGATGCAATTCTGGTTTGTTTACATTGCTAAATTTAAAACCAATTAGCAAATATTCATTTTTTTTTTTATAAGCTCTTAAATGCAAATAAAATCTCCATTGTTTTAAATTTTTTTAAATTTAATAATGTTATATTTTTAATGATAAAGCATTGTTTTTGGAAAATTGAATCTTAATTATTACTATTTGTTGAACTCCCCTCAGAATCATTTTTTCAGGCATCACTTCATTAGGCCATATTAGGCTGACTAAGTGGTGTACATATTTAACCAAATCATCATTCATTATTTTCAATAACTCCAGTTATTATTTTCTCACCAGGGACCTTATAATTTTTTAAACTTTTTATTTGTCTCTTAATTTCATCAATTGTTGGTTCTGAAAGTTCTACCATGTTAGGTTTTTTCTACTCAAAAAGGAAAGGGTTTTGGTTCCCTAAAATTCAGCAGTCAATTGAATTAAACTGCCCAAGCATAAGTTATGTCCTCTATTCATTATAATAGTTCAATTTTCCTTTCTTAAGAACTTCTTGTTTAATTTAAAATCCTTGCTAAAGCATTTACCTTTTTATAAAGATTTTTTGATTTGTGTTTTTTATATTCAAGTTCAGCAACTCCTACTATCCCTTGTATATACTTATTTTTCTCACATCTTATACTTGACTCTCTTTGTTTCCTTTTGTATTGGTATGTTTTTCTTCAATGTGTGTATCATTTAACCAGTCTTCTCTAGCCAGTTTTCACCAATCCAATGCTTCCTCACATACCCTGTTGATCCAGGGACTCTTTATTCGTTGTTGTACTCGTTATATTTTCTGCTGCTTTTTGAATTATGTTCTTTACTCCTGTCCATGAGGTTATATTTTCCATTTCTAAAGATCCTTTCTCCACCCATTGTATTTTCTGTAAAGCTAATGTACTCAAGTTAAATCTTTTATCTTTTCTTACTAAGGTAAGAACTGCTCCTAGTCTATATAGTGTGCGTACATTCCAAGTACCAAAATATAAGGCCGAGTTCCGTTTTTCTAGTCTAAAATCCATTACTCTACAAATCGGAGACAATTCATTCAGTTCTTGAACATAGATTCTTTTACAAGATCTGGTTGTTAGTCTGGAGGACCAGATCACAGTGACCATTTCAGGTCAGAGTGATGATATTGCAATGCACCTTAAAGTGCATTGGACAATGGGGACGCCACTTTCCCAGCACCACCATATTATATATGATGTTTTTAATATTTTAATTAATAATTTAACAAAATTAGTTTTGTATAATTATACAAATATTTGTTTACAGGTGTAAATAAACCAAAATGTCCATATTCTAATCACAAAAATTATATTTCAGAAACTCCAAAACCAGTTACAATTGGAGAGGTCACTATTTTTAATTTTGGACAAGTGAGTTTAGCATGCAATACAAATGAATTCAATATGTTTAAGCTAATATTAGTTGTTAATTTAATGTTTTTTTAATCTCATTTTTGTACTATGTCTTTCAAGAAGGATTTTTGTGTATCATTCAGATTAAATTTGAGTATTTTTTAAAGTTATATGCTTAAGAGGATGTATACTCACATCAGTCATATACCCACTGTATCAGTCCAACTACCAAGTAACATGCCAAAATAATGCTTACGCAGAATTTGTAAAAGTACATATTATGAAATTTTTAGAGAATAGTATTTTGGAGAAAATATTATACGGTTTTTTTATTATTCAAAATTTACAGCTTGGTATAAAAGATATAAAAATTATTNAAATCAAAATTAAGATAGTTTTACTTATTCTGGTTCAGCATTATTTTTGTTTGTTACCCAGTAGTTGGACTGAGACAATAAATGCAGGTTTAACGTCCTCTTAAATTTGGATTAAGTATCTTAGATAAATGGCTTGTGCATCAATATTAAAATAATAAACTGTTATATTAATTTGAATTAATTTTTCTTATTTTTGGTCTGCATTAAAATGGATATTATTAATGGTAAGAATTGTATATACATTATAAGCTTAACATTACAATATATTAGCGGACAGTTTTTAGTTATCCCAACTTATTATTATATAAAATATTTTGGTTTTTTATTTTGACTAACTGATTGTGTGACCTCACCATGTTAAAATCATTGTAAAAATAAAATAAAATTTTAATGTAAAGTCAATTAATACAATTATATAATTTACCTATTTATACCTTAATCTACAATTTAAAACCTACTGTATTCATACAATTAAATTCTTATACTAAACAAGAAAACAATGAACTTTCTGTTTGGTATAACTAATAATAATATACCTTAGTTTATATTTTTAATGACAATTAAAAAAAGGTCTAATTTACTTGATTTTTATAGTACACTCGTGTATAATTATATTTTAGATGCTAAACATTGTTTAAATGAATGTATTTTGTTTTCTAGATTGTGTATGATACACCTTTTTACTATTCAGACTGTGCCATTTATTCAGTTGGTTACTATGCTACCAGAACTTATGCTCATTTTAGAAATATATATTCCAAATGTACTTACCATTGTAAAGTAATGAAATCTGGTTCTTCTCCAAGGTCAAAAAAAAATATATTATTGTTTTTTCTTTTTAACTTTATTTAATTTATTAATAATTTATTTTATATTTAGATTTGAGATCATGGACCATGATAAACATTTTAAAGTTACTGGTTTAAGTACTGATGAATGTCATAATCATTTATTATCACTAATTAATAAAATGCTGGGTAATGATGATCTAATGTTTGCAACTAACAACGGTGATCGATTTTTTGGATTATCCTTGCCTTTGGTACGTCATAAACTTCAAGAAAATCCAGAATCAAAATTTTGCACAGGATACATTCCACAATTACAGGTGCCTATATCATTATGCTAGTTTAACTTAGAATATACACATTTACTATCAATCTGTTATTATTTTTTTTTTTTTTTTAATTAATAACTTAAATCACTATTTATTTATTCTTTTTCTTCAAAACTACCTTTAAATCAATTTTTGTTCTCTTTTAGGTTGATATTGAAGAAGAAATAGTTGCTGAGAATGACCCTTCTGTGAGCTTTGAAGGTCTACACTCTTGGTTAAAAAACTATCAAACTTTTTACTAGGAATTTGGAAAAACTTAAATACAATATTTTAAACTAATACCATAAATTCAAAAATTAAATATGGTTATCTATAAAAAAAAAATTGTATTATTAAATTAATCAACTATAATTTTATTAAATTGTATTGATTTCAACATTTGTATTGCTCTATATATATACCTATATTTAATATAAATTAAATACTTACATAAATGATAATTCAGTCATAAATTTAATATAATATGGTATGCTAAATTTAATTAATTTGATACTTTGATTGTAGTAATAATTTATACAAATGTCTCCATTATTTATATTTACAACTTTAAATTTGTCATATAATTATTTGTATTTTTTGTTTTGAAGAAATATTTATTTTAACTAGAAACAATAGTTCTGGTTGTTTTAAGCTTCATAGTAAACATTATTTTATTAAAATAAACTATTGCCTATTCAATCTTACAATTTTTTTTACATCAAGCCATCAGTTCCAGGACTGTATAACAAACTTTTATGATGATAAATGTACAATAAATTATACAAATATACACTCTAATTATGTGTAAATAATTGTTTTAATTAGATACCTGCATATTGTATTACCACTACCTAATATAATATTTTATTACAAAAAATATTTTAAATTTGTAAAAACTTCATGGTCAAGGGTATGATGGGGCTGCCAACATAAATGGTGTATATTCAAGAGCCCAGGTTAGGTTAAAATCTAAACAAAAATTGGCAACATATATCCATCCAGCTTCACATAATTTGTACTTGGTTCTAAAGGATGCAATGAATTCATCAACAGAAGTAAATACTTTCTTTGGACTTGTGGAAAAAATGTAAACATATATTTTCAAATAGTATTAAACATTGGCAATTACTTTTATCTTTAGTTATCAGATATTTCAATTACATTAAAAATATTATGTACCACTCCTTAGTCATAAAGGTATGGTTCTTTAATAGCTATTCAACATCCTTAAGTTGATATTTTTAAATGTTTATAGCAAATAATTCTTAGAATCAAAAATAAAGACGAAATATTTAAAGTAAATTATTTAAAAGTTCATATGGAAGTTTTTCTACTTATAAACAAAGTAGTTTTCATTTACAAAATTCTGGAAACTGTAAATTTTGTGTTAAAAGTTCTTCAGTCTTCTTATCCAGAACTGAGTACAACAGGTTCTTTAAAATGAATCTTTAAGAATGCATGTCACAATACATTGATTTTTTCGTAGTAAAAGTAAAATTTGTGTAAAAAATAAGGTGTATCACAAAAATTTCAAGAAAAAATTATTATTAGTTATACCAAACAGAAAGTTCATTGTTTTCTTGTTTAGTATAAGAATTTAATTGTATGAATACAGTAGGTTTTAAATTGTAGATTAAGGTATAAATAGGTAAATTATATAATTGTATTAATTGACTTTACATTAAAATTTTATTTTATTTTTACAATGATTTTAACATGGTGAGGTCACACAATCAGTTAGTCAAAATAAAAAACCAAAATATTTTATATAATAATAAGTTGGGATAACTAAAAACTGTCCGCTAATATATTGTAATGTTAAGCTTATAATGTATATACAATTCTTACCATTAATAATATCCATTTTAATGCAGACCAAAAATAAGAAAAATTAATTCAAATTAATATAACAGTTTATTATTTTAATATTGATGCACAAGCCATTTATCTAAGATACTTAATCCAAATTTAAGAGGACGTTAAACCTGCATTTATTGTCTCAGTCCAACTACTGGGTAACAAACAAAAATAATGCTGAACCAGAATAAGTAAAACTATCTTAATTTTGATTTTGGGAGTAAAAGTATCTATTATGAAATTTATAGAGAACAATATTTTGGAGGGGATTAAGGGAATTCATTTTTTTGAATTAGTTTGTTCAAAAAGTTACAGTTATTTAAAAAATTAAAAAATAATAATTTTTATATCTTTTATACCAAGCTGTAAATTTTGAATAATAAAAAAACCGTATAATATTTTCTCCAAAATACTATTCTCTAAAAATTTCATAATATGTACTTTTACAAATTCTGCGTAAGCATTATTTTGGCATGTTACTTGGTAGTTGGACTGATACAGTGGGTATATGACTGATGTGAGTATACATCCTCTTAAGCATATAACTTTAAAAAATACTCAAATTTAATCTGAATGATACACAAAAATCCTTCTTGAAAGACATAGTACAAAAATGAGATTAAAAAAACATTAAATTAACAACTAATATTAGCTTAAACATATTGAATTCATTTGTATTGCATGCTAAACTCACTTGTCCAAAATTAAAAATAGTGACCTCTCCAATTGTAACTGGTTTTGGAGTTTCTGAAATATAATTTTTGTGATTAGAATATGGACATTTTGGTTTATTTACACCTGTAAACAAATATTTGTATAATTATACAAAACTAATTTTGTTAAATTATTAATTAAAATATTAAAAACATCATATATAATATGGTGGTGCTGGGAAAGTGGCGTCCCCATTGTCCAATGCACTTTAAGGTGCATTGCAATATCATCACTCTGACCTGAAATGGTCACTGTGATCTGGTCCTCCAGACTAACAACCAGATCTTGTAAAAGAATCTATGTTCAAGAACTGAATGAATTGTCTCCGATTTGTAGAGTAATGGATTTTAGACTAGAAAAACGGAACTCGGCCTTATATTTTGGTACTTGGAATGTACGCACACTATATAGACTAGGAGCAGTTCTTACCTTAGTAAGAAAAGATAAAAGATTTAACTTGAGTACATTAGCTTTACAGAAAATACAATGGGTGGAGAAAGGATCTTTAGAAATGGAAAATATAACATTTTTCTACAGTCAATGTGATAACCAGACAAGGGGGCAGCTGTTCAGAAAAATATATTACCTGCAATAAGGGACTTCAGGGTGATTAGCGCTAGGCTAACAGTTTTAGTATTAGAAGAAAAATGGTTCAAGTTAGCATTTGTTAATTAAAAAAGAAGATTTCTATTTTTTCCTAGAGACCTGCTTAGAGGATTTATCTAGGAGGTAGTAACTGTATTAAGGGCTTTTAATGCGAAAATTGGCAAAAGAGAATGGTTCAGACCAACTATTGGAATGCATAGTCTTCATCATAGTTTATTCAATTGTATGTCCATTGTCTGTGTTTTTTATTTATGCTCTACTACAGTCTACTATAGTCGTTATGATAACATAATCATGTTCTATATGCACCGATACGATAATCAGAGGCCCGGTTGGTTGTAACTCCAGTGTATCGGTGCCGTGTGGTGGAAAACGCCATTAGTCCGGGGTCTTTATAATATATGGTCACTTCTGATAATATCTATTCTGCGATAGTGTTAATCATCACTTTAGGTTCTATATAATATGTTGGTTAGGATAATAGTTGTATATACACCACTATTATTTTGTACATTTTTACAGTACACGTGGGATATTTGTGTCTTGGTGCATATTTTTTTTTGTGTATTTGGTTATTTTACTTATTCATTATACCGTGTAAATTTATTTACTTTTATTTAAAAAATATGGGTAATAAGAGACATGGCTGTACAAATTCGTATTTTGCAAAAAAGAGAAGAAATAAACAAGGAGTAAGTTTTTTTTTTATTAGTTAGTTTTAAACAACGTTTAGTAAAACATAGATTCCTGAGCTCCTTAGTACAAATAGTTTTAAATAATATGTCAGATGATAATATTATACCTGAATCTTTAATTTTAATAACAATTAGTAAAGAAGTTTTTTTTAATTTTGTAACTAACAAATTGGTATTTAGTAACGAGAGAACAAAATTTGCATGTATTTTTCAGCATGAAATGAAATACCATTAATTCTACATCACTCAATTAAATTATCCAAGTCACTTTGAATTTTACAGCAGTCACCTAGATTATAAACCAGAAGAAATAATTTTAGATTATTGGCAAATAGTAAATAATTACAGTAAAAAAAGACTTTGTTTATGTCATTTAGGTATTTACCTAATAAAAATAAAAGTGGTGATAAATGTCCACCTATGGTACACCAAAATATGTATTTATGGGTAGAGATATAGTATGTTTAATTTTGACTATCTGTGTTCTATCATAAATAAATTATGACAACCATTGAAGAAGTTTCCCATGTAGTTATTCAATTTTTTTGTGATAATATTGTGATCCACAGAGTTAAATACCTAAACTTATTAAATTAAATCAATTTAATAATTAACAAATTAAAACTTATTTGGTCTTAGGACAGATAGAAAAATGATATGAGACTCTGATTTGTATTCAATTTTTATTTTTTAAAATTTTTTGTATAGTTTTCAGAATAAATTAAGCCAATTTGTGTGACTTTAAATACAAGTATATCATGATTTAAAAATCATTTACATATATTTTTCAATTTTATTTTATAAATTATTGGTCTAGAATAAAAATAATTATCGTATCAGTTAAATCATTTTGTTTTAAATTATATAACATTTATTATATTCTAAATTATATTACTTATAATATAATTAAAAATAAAGCCAAGTTTAAAATATTGCTCTATTTATTTTAACTATTTTCAACAGAATTGAGGTATTAAAATATTTATTATATTTCGGTCCATAAGAGGAGTCTGTGTCTCCACCAAAACTCGTCAGAGTACGCACAGCCTAAATATGTCACTAGCTTATGTATAACATAAGCTGTTGCCGGAAATGTTCAATTTGGGGAAATAGTTCCCCAAGAACTTCTACACCATCAGTTGCATTTACAAAATGAGTTCCTTTTTTTGTTAACCAGGGTATATAATATTATATTCTGATGAATGATGATAATGATATGGAAACTCAAAAGGAATCTATTAGCGATTTTCAGTTAATTGTACTCAGTGCTATATGCTAATAACATGCTAGTTCCATTCATCAGTATGTGTTTACACTACCATGGTTTAATGTGTTATATCTTGAAAAACTGCTCGAGTGTTCAATACTCAGTGTGGAACTGTTGCCTGAGCTTTTTGAGTCTTCTTTAAATGTGTTGTCCACCTGTAGTAGAGAATTCTACTCACTAGTGCGAACTGGTGATAAACTCACAATGTGTCAGTGGAAAATGGTTAAAAAGAATTTAGAACGGTGTAAAACACTATATATACTAATAATTCTTTTAGATTTGCTGTATTTTAAGTTATATAATTTTTATTAAGGTATATTATGTTAATTTTTTTTTATGGTGAGCTTTAAACAGGGATTTAACATTACATTTATTATACTTTATAAATTTACTCAATTTAAAGTTGTAATTATATCGAATTGTGTATATCAATAAAATAAGAGTTACTAAAAATTAAACATTTCATTTTTTTTAATTTAATTAATTTACTTTAATTTTAGTTATGTACAGCTGTGGATTCAATAGATAATCGCAGTTCTTATGAAACGACAATAAGGGACAATGAAAAATTTTTACAATATTATAAAGTAATTTTTCACCCATATTTTAAAACTAACCTAAAACTGTACAATGTATATTTTTATTGTAATACAAATGTTATTTATACATTTTAGATGCAAAATATTTGTCCAGAAGATGAATGGGATAACTTTGTAACTACACTAAAATCTGATTTACCCTCATCATTTCGCATTACAGCTAGCAGTAATGCAGAAGCTACAGAATTATTAAAATTTGTTGAAGGTGTTTTGTTGACAGATTTACTTAAAGTAGAACGGAGTGATGCACATGAACTTAAAAGCAGCAAACCTTTTTGCTTACCATGGTTTGTTTATTTATAATTATCTGAATACATAATTAAATGTTATCAATTTTATTATCACCAGGGTTTGAGACTTTTATGTACTTAAAATCCATAAAGAGCATTAAAAAGATCAATAAATAATTTAACACTACAAAAATAATTAACATAAATATTTTTTTATAATCAAATTTATTAAAAAAAAAACCTGTATTAATCAATTTTGTAATTTTAGATATTTTTATTTTATAAGTTAAAGTTGTTGCTGTTTTTGGTTTTTAATATTTTTTGAGTGCTATTTACTACATGGCTTTTAAGCTTTTTTATTTTTTTTTATTATGTGGATTTAAATGACATAAAATCTTGAGCCCTGATTATTATCAGTATACTTTAATTAAATTAAAAATTAAAATTTCAATTGAATTTTGGAATTTTTATAGGTATCCACAACGATTTGGATGGCAATTGAAAATTACCCGTAAAGATATCCGTAGTTCAGAACCTTATTTTCGCTTGCATAATTTTTTAATTTCTGAAACTGAAAATGGCAACATTTCTAGACAAGAAACTGTCAGCATGATTCCACCTTTACTATTAGATATAAAATCAAGTGATAAGGTTTATTTATTGTATTTATGATTTTTGAAACTTTTTTTTTTTATTAATATGATTAAAATTTTGTAGATTTTAGATATGTGTGCAGCTCCTGGTTCAAAGACTGCTCAATTAATTGAAGGACTTTTTTCTGGTTCAAATTCTTCAGTTCCAGGTATTTGGTAATCATAATAATAATAATACAAATTTAATTGCCACTATTGTATGATTCAGATGGTTTTGTTGTTGCTAATGATGTAAACAATTCAAGATGTTATATGTTAGTTCACCAAGCTAAACGACTAAACAGTGCAAATGTAGTTATTACAAATCACGATGCTACAGTTTTACCTTCTATGAAGAGCAATGAAAATGGTTTTCTTTTTTTCTTTTGTGGTTTTAATAATATTTTATATTATACTATGTATATATTTTGTACAGGAGATTCTGTGTTAAAATTTGATAAAATTTTATGTGATGCACCCTGTTCGGGTGATGGTACATTACGAAAGAATCCAGATATTTGGACTAAATGGAGTCCTGGAAATGCAAATAATTTGCACGGGTTAGTTAATTAAACAAATGTGTATTTGATATACAATTAATATATATATTTTTAAAACATTTAGAATACAGTATCGTATATTAAAGCGTGGCTTAGAACTTTTAAACCAAGGCGGACAATTGGTTTATTCAACTTGTTCTTTAAACCCAGTTGAAAATGAAGCTGTTATTCATCGTATAATGAGTGAATCTGAAGGTATTTTTATATATTTTTTAATACTACCATTGGATACAATGGTAACTGGATACAGTTATATTGATTTGTTAGTTTATTAAAATATAAATATTCCAAAGTTGTCTAGGTGTACCGATTTTAACAAATATTAATTTAAATGTAATATTTCTGACAGTGTAGTCCTCAAACAATCAGTATAGATTAATGTTAATACTGTTTGTTTGGCATTTGCACACAGACATCACATTTGTCTTCAATCACAGTCATTATTCACTTAACACTATCAATATGATCATCAGTAAGAAATACTGACAACTGACTCAATCACCTATTTTATATCAGTCTTTAGTATCATTTTTTTATACTTACTACATCAGTACTCTCTGTTAATAATATTAATCATGTGAAGGCTGCTTACATTACTCTTGTGGTCTAAACACATAGGCATCCAAAGAGCAATTATCACCTTTTTTTATTTTTCATTTTTATAAATGAAGTTTTGCTGAATCCTCCCCTTGGGTTTGCATATGGCATGAAGATATATGTGTCTATTAAATATCCTCTTGATGTTGCCTTCTTCAAAATAATTTTGCCGCATAAGTCTCTTAGAGTGAATCTCCAAGTCTAGCTCTTAATGTATGTATTTGTAAACAATTTTCTTTTTCTAAATCTCAGTTTTATTACCAATTTATATAATTAATAATAATGCCTACCCATAGGTATAAATTTTGTTTGTGATATTGGTTTCCAACTTAACACCCATACTGTTCAAAGTAACATATTAAAGCAATGTGCTATAAGACACTTAAAAGTTCTGGGTGTTTGTTCAGCAAATTTAATCTGAATTCAAATTTTTTTCCTATCTTACGGCTCTTTTGTTTGTTAGTTCATATGTTCCTCAAATACAGTTGTGTCATCTGGAATTCATTTACTAAAGATGATTCTAAAATAATTGAAAGTTTTCATTGTACATTTTAGATTCTGAGTGGAGCAAAGAAGATTATAGTTTTATAAAAATGTTTTTTTAATTTAATTTTTTTTTTTAATAATTTTTCTATCAAAATACTTGCTCAAAGAGCACCTTCTCTAAAAGAAAATTAGCATGAAGAGATACTTTAAAGTGGTAATATTTCTATATTCTCAGGAGTTTTCTGATTAAGTTTGAAAAACCAAAATAATTGGAAAATATAAGAAATGTATGTTTAGTTAAAATGTATTACAGCATTCTTTTTTTCTTGTGAATAACTTTTATGTTAGCAATTGTGCTCCAATTCATAATAATAGCAATTTTTCTAAAAGGAAATTTGACTGGGAAGGTACTTAAGGGAGATAATTTTTCAGTTTTCCTAAGAGTTTTCTCAGCAAATGTGAAAAACTGTGATAAAATATGGGAAAATTGAGAATATTGGTACAACATATCACAAACATTATTAAAAAAATATATAATACTTATTTAATTTTTTACTACAAAATTACATATTGTAGACAAAGCATCATCAACTGAACTCTGCTCAGAATCTTGAAGAAAGTATATAATGCCTATTTAACTATTTTACTATAATATAACATAATATATATTGTTGGTAAAGCATCACTATCAACTGAACTGCGCTCAGAATCGTTTTTCATAAGCAATGGTTTATTGTTGTTTACTGGTATACATTACCTATAACAATAGCTACACCCGTCCTCATTTTCCTAGAAAGCCTTTTTTAGATTTACCTCATTCTTTTAAAAGGACTTGGACTTAAAAGGGACTTGTTCTATAAGCTCTAAATTAACCATACTTTTGGGATCATAGCCAAGCTGCTTGTCTAATACTTTTATTCAAGCTTTTTGCATATGAAGTTGATTTTCCTACACTGCAATTTAGAGTACTTTCTTATCCTACAAGATCTCATTTGCTTTCTTCATTCCTATCTCATCCTCTATCAAAACAAAGCCTCAATTATTTAACTAATTTGTATCATCATTGTTTGCTTAGTTTACTTATTTGTTATCACATTTATTATGTTCTTGTTCTTTTTGGGTTTTGGCCTATGTAATACATTAATCAATAATATAAATAGTACATGTGCAAAATGGTTCAATTTGTGATTTAGACAAGAGTTTTTACATTTAAATTAATGAAGGTGGGCTTAGTTTTATATCAGTGGTAATATTGAAACTTTTGTTCTTAAATTTGATAATAATTTTGATGATAATTTTTTTTATATAGGTTCTATTGCAATTATGAATGTTCAAGATAAGATTGCAGGATTAAAAACCACAAATGGACTTTCACAGTGGGTAGTTGTTTCAAAAGATTTAGATGTGTATACTAGCTTTGATGAAGTACCAGAAAAGTGGGTTACTCAAATAAGACCACAAATGTTCCCTCCAAAGGAAGATTTATATAATCTAAATAGATGGTAAATCTGATAGTAAATTTAAAAATGTATTTCCTTAATTTTAAACATTTTCTTCTTTCAATTTTTAGTATAAGAGTTTTACCTCATCATCAAGATACTGGTGGGTTTTTTGTTACTGTTTTGGTAAAAATACAGTTATTACCTTGGGAAGCAAGTGAAAAAAAAAATGAAAATCTATCAGAAATGATCCCTGAAAAACCAATCGCTGTTAAAAAAAAAAAAAGGTATCAAGGTTATAAAGAAGATCCATTTGTATTTTTGAGTGATGATGATAAAGTTTGGCCAGAAATCAGGTAAATATACAATAAATAAATATCTTATACTTGAATTTACTTCAGCAAAAATTGTATTTCATTTTTTTATTTTTTTTAATGAATTATTTCTTAAAATAAGGTTGCAATATATACCGGTAAATTATGTCTGTTAATTTGTAGTTTTTTTGTTATGTCAAATTATAAACTGTTAAGATATTAAATTGTAATTTAGAATCACATGTAGAATATAGTTAAAAAGGAATATTGAAGTACAGGATGTAGATATGACATATTACAATTAAGGGTGTAGCAATTCATAATATTATGAGTAAATAGGAAATATTTTAGTGGTGCTATGAAAAAATTGTCACTGTATATTAGTACAAGGGTTCCCAGTTAGTATGAAGCCATGGACCTCTATAAAATTTAAATTAGTGGGAACCCCTTATTTGTGAATTTTTGCTTTTCAATTTTCTTTAATATTTATGAAAATGAAAAAAAAAACAATTTTGTACAATTTATTTTAATTTTACAAAAGTACCTTTTTCTAATAATATAAACACAGATTTTCTCAAAAAATACAAATAACGAGATTTACCTATTTGATTTAACACCTAACTTTTTATTTTAAATTACATTTTACAACTTAATTATGAGTTACTTAAAATAGTTATTATATTGATTTTCGAATCTTATGAGAGTAAAACATTTCTTTTTTGTTCATAATCTCGTCTAAACTTGGCTGCATACTTGATATTTTCACTCTTAAATCAGCATCAAAATTAAGTGTATTACGATATTTGTTTTTCATGAAGCAATAGGTAAAAAAATTATTCACATTTATATATTGTGTAAAAGGGAATTAAATATCTTTAAGCATTTTTGGCCAATTGTTTTTGATAAATTTGAACAGTTAACCAAAAATCAATTAGTTTATGATTGAAAATATTTTTCATCTGTCCCTTAGTTACCAGATCAATTAATTCATCTTGAACAGAGAATGATTTTCAATGTTTTCAATATCACAAAAGAATGGATTTCTTATCTATGTATTGTTTGGGTCAGGTTGATGAAAATATTTTCTTAAGGTTTCGGTCATGCACAACAAGTGTTTAGATATTTCATATTTGACTTCTTGTGGTAGACATTCACTTGAAGATACTAAAAAAACTTGTAATGTCGGAAAGTTACAGAAAGAGTTCTTTTCACACGTTTTGCCCAAATTTCAAACTTTTTTTTTATAGTTGCTTTTATTTTATCCTCAAAATGGAAAACATCAATATAAATTCCTTGTAAACTCAAATTCAGTACATTCAAATGTTTGAACACATCAACCAAGTAAGCTGTTCGACAATGCCAAGAAAAATCAGTTCGCAAGTCCACAAACCAGGTCTCAAGAAGAAATACCTGAACGTCATTTCTTAACTCAAAAAAACACTGACGAATTTCATCTCATGAAAGCCATTATATTTTAGTGTGCAAAGGAAGCTATACTTCTAGCTATACTAAGCTATACTTCACTATACGTGGTCACTTCCCATGTCTTTGCAAAGGACTTCAAAAAGTCTGGAATTGTAAGGGTTGTGGTTTAATAAAGTTAATAATTTTCACTACTTCCTCTAAAGTTTTCCTGTGCTCCAGTAAGCGTTTAGCAACCAAAACTTCTCTATGAACACAAAAGTGAGTGCACTTTATGTGATATGCAACTTCTTTCACAGAACCCAACAGTCTAGTGGTTATTCCAACACATTTTTCCTACCTAATGCCATGCTTTGTAAAAAACTTATCAATAGCTTCAATTTTATCTTTTTCCTAAGTATACAGGAGCTCTCAAGAAAACAAAAATCTTCAAATAACTGTTTTTGCCATCTAAAATGGACAAAAATCAACATAGATGACCTACTTGCTATATCTGTACTTTTATCTAGTTGCAGTGCAAACATGTCATTCATAGATAGCCTTATAAATGTTTCTTCAATATTTGCAGACATATTAGTAATTCATCTTTGAATAGTATTGTTTGCCAGGGAGACAGAACTAACTAACTTGGATGTAGATTCACCTAACATTCTTTTGAGCAGGATAATTGCAGCTGGAAGAATTAGTTCTTGGGCTATGGTGTGAGCCTTACCAGATTTTGTAACAAGTTAAACCACTTAATGTGAAGCTAGCCTGACATTTTTATTACCATTTAGACTTGTTGAAGATTTCATCACTTTTATGATTTTTTAAATTCTCCTAACATGGCTATAAAACAATCCAAAGACTTGCTAGTAAATTCATTATGTTATTTCTCATAATGACATAGTTTGGAAGGTTTCATACTTTCATTGGACAAGATCTCCAAGCAAATAATACACTGTGGTTTTGATTTATCTTCAGTCCCAGCCAATGTGATTCCTAATTGTAAATATTCAGTGTTATACTTTCTCACTTTAGTACCATAGTACTCTTCGAGTTCAGAATATTGAAAATTTGAGTCTGAGTTACTAGGTTGATCAATACACTAAAAGAAATATATTATAGAAATTATCAGTAAAAATATAGATAAATTATAAATTGTAAACATATTTATATATTATAAATTATTTGCCTTATACATATGCAGGCATCTAACGATGGGCTAATAAGTAGAAAAGTTTGTTTGATAAATAAATACATGAGTTATTTACTCCACATTCATTCATATCATTAACAGTATTATCATCTTCAATGTCACTTATATGCCTCTTAAGTGAACCAGATTTTAACCACTGATGCATTATGGGTAATGTTGACTAATGACTAATGTTAAAAATTTCCATCTGCAATATATTTTATTCATTATGTAATATATAATAATAGTATAATAGTGCAAGTAATAAATATAAAATTTATAATTAATTGATTGTCTACTTTTCGTGATTATCAAGTTTCAATAGTGATAGTCTACAAATACCTGGAATTTCAAAGGACTAAGAATTTAATAATTTCACTAAATTAAAATTTAAAAAATCAATACTGTACTACACAACCGTGCATCCATGGGGGTTCATAGACCACCAATTGAGAGCCACTGCATTAGTGCATTATATTTATATTTATATTATTCACTTTATTAAAATTGTTAAAATACTATACAACTAAAAAAAAACCAGATTCTTATTTATTGTGTAAATAAAGTGCTCTAAAAATTAATGATGTTGGTAGTCTAAACATTGTTGTTGGATGATAAATCTAATCTACACATTTGGTATTTACTTTTTGGTATTAAAAGAACTATAGAGAAAAATTGATTTAAGGTATCTGTTATCAAAGTGCATTTAAAAAAGTATACATAAAAAAAAAAAAAAATGCCACACATTAAACATGACTTATATTTAACACAGAATTTTTAGACCACCAAAATTATTCTTTTTACAACAAACACTTCTAAATTCGTTTTTGTAATTAATATTAATTTTATATTTTCAGGGATTTTTACGAATTGAATAATTTTCCTGTTCATTGTTTATTAACAAGGTGTTCAGTGGGTAAAAAAAAAAATATTTATTTCACTTCACCATCTATAAGAGATATTGTAAGGAATAATCAAGAGAAAATAAAAGTAAGCAAGTTTATGTGATAATTATTTCTAAAAAAATATTTGTTATTCTTAGTAATTATTAATTACTTAATAATATCACTAATGTAAATAATTTATAAATTATTCATATTATAGATCATAAATACGGGTGTTAAAACTTTTGTTCGCTGTGATAATAAATCTATGGGTTGTAATTTCCGACTTGCTCAAGAGGTAACTTAATCTTAACATTTTTAAAATAATAATTATCATCTAAATTAATAAAATACTTGAATTAATATAACTATACATAAGTGTATACACTTTTATTATAAGGAATCAACAGCATGATGTTTTATTAAATTTAGTTAGGTTACAAGAATGCTTTTAATTTATCAATGTTATTTATTTATATTTGAAGGGTTTGGCGAGTATATCATGTTATATAGGATCAAAAAGAAGATTACAGCTAACTCGTCATGAAATTATTGCTGTATTAAAAAATCCAACTATTCCAGTTGCTGATTTAGATGAAAATACAAGAGATAAACTAGATGATTTTGGTAATTAAATTTTCAGTTTACAAAAATAAATTTTGTATTAAACTAAATATACTAAACAGGTGTTGGTAGTTGTATTCTAAATATGCCAGATGAACAATTACCACTTGAGTTAGTTGGATGGAAGGGATTTTCAACCCTCAAAGCTTATGTGAATGGTGAATGTAGATTGCATTATTTGAGATTGCTTAGAGTTGATGTTTCTCAATTTGGTAAAATTTGTATTTATTTATTTTTAATATATAAATTACATTAGATTTAACTGTTGTAATATAAAATTTAAAAAATAATAATTAAATGGTTTTGTACATGAATGGTAAACAAAAGTACTATTTATTACATTGGCTATGTATTGTTTTTTTAGATGTGAACAAATTTAAAAAAGAAATTAATGACGATGAACAGACCAACACAAATGTGACTTGGACTGGTAATATTGAAATATAAATATATTTCATTGTAAATAAACTTTATGTTAAAAGTATTAGTAATTACATATGCCATTTATTGTTTTAGATGTTGAAGAATTGAAAAAAGAAAATGAACTTTGCTGATTAATAATAATGGGACTTGTATTGGTAAATGTTAAATTACTTACTTTATATAGTTTTAAACTTTTGATTTGTTATATTTTATTTATCAATTATTATAAATGACTGAAAACATGTTAAATTCAAACTGATAGAAAATTTACAATTTTAATTTTTTATTTAATAGTTTTTTTGCACAAAATGTACCATTATTTCAAATATTTAAAAATATAAATGATTTGTCCCGCTTTCCCATGTCATTTAATATTGTGAAGCATTATAATTTTGCCCATTTTTTGGATTTTAGATTTGTTAACATAGAAGTTACATTATGTTTTATTTTTATTCCAGAGCCAATTCCTGAAAATCATGAAAGATTACAATAAAAAAAAAAGTCTAAATTAATGACTTGTGGTAATTATAATATTATTAGTTATAACTACAAATTTCAATTTTTATAATATATTTTTATAACAATAAATCGTTATTAAAAATATAATGGAAACTAGTTAATTTATTCCCCCCTTTTTTTTAATTGATTAATTCAATTTTCTAGGTATAATATTAACAAAATTTTGAACACGTCTTTTGTTAAAATAATGGTATTGATTATGATCAAATTTCCAGAAAATAATTAAGAAAGTATGTCTGTTCTTCATTCTCTTTCTTTTCATTCGCCTTTTCTCTCAGCTTCTTAGAACTTTAATATTAGTATTGAATTTGCATTCAATTTCATTTAAATCAGAGGTTTCCAAACTTTACACTGTACATAATACAACCCAATTTGGAAATTTTCGTGGTCACTTACTTAAATCACCAATGTTTTTCTAAAAAATAAAGGATTTGAACAATAACAAAGGACAATTTTTGTTTTTATTTATTAAATAATCAACCAAAAATATATTGAAACTTATTTTTATTCTTAGTATTTTTTTTTTTTAAATTTAAATTTTTTTTGCAATTTATATGTTTTTTATATTGAAGTTGATCTTACAAAAATAATTTTTTAGGAACTATGAATTAGTGACTATTTGATATATATTACTAAATATTACTTGTATAACTGCAACTTAAAATCACCATAATTTCTAAAATTATAATTGTACTATCATTTTCAATTTTGAAACACATCATTTGAAAAAAAAATTGCAATTGGTGAGGGGTTGGATAAAATCAGAGATGTAGCCAGGAAAGCTATAGTGCCCATAGACTGTATTTATGTATTTATACCATTTTATAATGCTATATATTACAATTTATTTCTTCCGCTCTTAAAAGAAAGTTTTCTACACTGAACCTATGAATATAAAATATATCAACAAATAGACTCAATGGGTAAGCAAATATTATTTTTATAAAAATGCTGATACTACTGATGAGTGTGCCACTGTTGTAAGTAGGAATTTGAAAAGGTAGGATACATAAAGTTATTTAATTTATATTTGTAAGCAACTATAAACCATTGCTAATGAATTACGATTCTGAATAAAGTTCAGTTATAAATGTTTTGAAATGCAGAAATATTTACTATTTCATCAAAATTTGATATTAAAACCGATTATAAAAAAACAGCAAACTACAAATACTCAATTTTTTTTTTTTAAAGTAAGTACAATTATTATTAAAGAACCTGAACCTCAAATTAAATTTGCAAACATTTATGTTTAATTCTACCATATTCTTCATTTATTACCTGCTAAAGAAAATCTAAAAAAGAAGTTGAAAATGGTAAATGCATATAAAAATTTCAAAATCAGTAAAATAATTTGAAAATTTTATCATGTCTAAAAAAATGTTTAATATAAGTTATGACCAAAAAATTCCAATTTACACCAAAACATCAGATCAAAAATAATGAAACCATTTTAAGTCTTTTTTTTTTTTTTTTTTTTATCAATAATTATGAGAAAAAAGCTTGGAAAAGTAAAACACAATTTACTTGTTCACCAAGAAAATCCAAAATGTAACAAAAAAGGTCACTTGTCATAATTTGATTGAAGCAAGATTTATGGTAGAGAAGTTATTTACAAACCCAAAAAATTAAAAGAAACCATTTAAATCATAAGTCATTTTGAAATGCTATGCCATGCTTTATTTTATATTATCACTTGTTTTTATTATTTTTGTTTTAAAAATGAAATAAATGGTTTTATTTAATAAATAATGTCTAGGCATCTTTATTAGGTGTTAAAAAAATCACAAATTGGAAAAACTGAATATTTTTAGTCTATTAATTGTTTTCAAAATACAGCTGATACTGCTGATGGATGTGCTATTGTTTTAGGAAAGAAGTTAGATTTGAGAATATATTAAGCAATTTAATTATATCTGTTTGTAGTGCCATAACCAGAAAGTCAACAATCTAGGTGCAAATAAATATGTATGGGCCCCTCTTTTTTAAATATCAAAATGAATATGCAAAAAATATTCATACCATGAGTGATTTTTATCCCTTAGATAGGATACTCATGGTGTATGTGTTGAATTTTAATGAAGACATTTAAAATTTAAAATCATAAATGTACCAAAACTGTTATTAAAAATTGATCAAAATATAATATGATTATTTATTGAACAAATATGATTTACAATAATAAATAAATACAACATTTAAAATAAAATGATTAATAATATTTTTATTATGAAAAAAAAAAATGATTTTGTGCTTTTTCTTCATATAAATATTCAATAATAATATCTACTAACTACAATAATTATTTATCATTAAAACTGTTATATGGAAGTATTTATAAATATTTTTTCAATTTATTTTTGTAAAAAAAAATTACTAAAATAAATGAAAATAATGTTTTTAAAATCTTAGTCTTGAAACATGGTTGACGTGATATAATAAAAATAATCTAGAGCAATAGGTGCTTTAGCTTTTCTGTCCTAAGAGATCTGTACATCGTGAATACCTATAATAAGGAATACATAGTACCAAGCTACAGAAGATAACGTACCTGTTATAGAAAAATTAAAATGTGATGACTACTTACTAAGATCTTTCAGACATTTTATGAAATAACTTCAATCTTATTTATTTAATACGCTTTATTTAGCTATGAAATAAGTAATAATATTCTTCCGTCTACACAAGTTTTCTGTGACCGTGCGTTTTCAAAACTAAAAAGATACGGACATACTTGCACGATGGGTGACCCGATGTTGTAGATGAGAAGTTGGGAAGGTAGGATATAGAAGAAAATTTAATGTATATCTGTACGCAGTGATTATTCTTTGCAAACGAAAAATTATTCTGAGCGGAGTTCGGTTACATGTTTTGAATGGCCGTAATATTTACGACTTGAAAATAATTAATTTCGTAAATTTTCACGTTTTTTTTTTTTTTCTGACTCCGAAGTACAACTTATAATGAAACTCCTGTTAAATTTTCTAGAGTTTCTGTTTTGTCTAACAATTTTATTCACAAAAATTATACGTAAAAAAACAGATAGAATTAAAATATCTAAAGAAGTGTCATAAATTGTCTAACTACGAGTAGGTATAACACTTCTATACTTCTCCAGTCTAAACTTTAAACTGTTATAATTCATAAACGGTAAATCTGATATTCGTGTTATGCATATCAAAGTTTCTAGAGAAATATTCTTTATTCAAATCTGTGTTTTTAAGGGGGGGGTTCCAATTTGAAAATCAAAAGTATGTACTTATTTAAAGTACATGAAGTTGGGGTAAAAAATTAAAAATTGTATTAAAATCTATAATGATTAGACAAAACATAAATCAAATTCACTTTAAATCCTCTGAGATAATTGCTAGTTCATAATGAAAAATCACTCTGTATAACTCAAAAATGGCTACAATGTTTTGAATAAATTTTACTACGTCTAGAAAAAACAAATATAAGTTTTCTGTTCAAATTTCAAGTCTCTACAAATATTTTTAACTAAAACAAAACAAAAATTATAATATACATAATACATTTCGTAAATTTTCCCATTGTTCCTGTGTATTATCTAGGTTTTTCCCATTTGTTATGAAAATAGCCTGAAAAATAAAAAAATGACTTCCCTAAAGTATCACCTCAGTCAAATTTACTTTCAGAAAAAGTGCTACGTTCTTTAGTCAAAAAAATCTTGAAACACTAATGCCCTGTTAATAATTAACATAGTGTTGCGATTTGACTCAGAAAAATACCTAATTGATCTTTATGACGTATATGAGCATTAATGTGATGTAGAGGTATACCTCATTCAGTATTTTAACCCAATTTAGTAAATTGACGCGATATGCTTAATACATATACCATACATGTGGGTTCACTACAGAATGACAAAAAAAAATAAATGTAAAGCAATGTTAATTCATATTTTAAATTGAATTAATATTATTAAAATTTTTAGTAGAGTTCGAGCGAAGCCGGATAATTTTTATTTGATATTGAATTTGACTTCCATATTTTGCTGTTTAGGGGCCCATTGAAAATATTTTCCCGGGGAGGCCCAATCATGAGCCAGTCCAAAACTGCTAAAATGTATTCCTTAGGTTGAACCTTAAGTTACACACTTACACGCTACTGCAGTTCACTGTGTAAGTATAATGCATACAAGTAATTAGGTAGGTACCTACAATTATTACTTATCATGGAAACCATGGACATCATATAGTTATATTAGGTAGGTATACCTTGAAATACTAGCATTATACTAACATTTAAATAAAAACCCGATCTTTAATTATAACAATAATTTATTTAAAAAAAAATGGGTACCTAATACAGTATTATAATCTGAAAGAAATAATAATTCTCGTACTACAAATCGTAATGAAAAAAGAGATGTTAGCGGCCAATTGCAGCCTTCAATGATAACGACTCCGATTCTCTCTTTTTTTTTTTTTTTAACAGTAAACACTGCCGCCCACTCGAAAATACCACCGATAAAATACATTATTTTATCATTTACGAATTCTTGTCTATATTCATGATGAGTGATTAACGTTCTTTTTTATGCTTGTGATTTATAGATAAAGAAATACCTTTAAGAAATAAATTCTGTTTAAATATTATTTGGTTATTGTTCAATTTTTCTCAACCACTTGATAATTACCGTGTTCAATACTACGGTGAAGATGTGCTCAGACGGTATTGGAAATCGAACATATAATCGAATAATATAATATTTGTACATACGATAATATTTCTGAAGTTTAACATTTCAAACGTACGACTTCGGGGAAGGTTTTCAACGTATTCACTATGCAGATGGCTATCGTAGGATCGTTTTTGTCTGTGGCCTTTATATTGCTATGTGATGCCGTGTTCTGGACCTACAGTTTCAACCTAGACACTAGATTGCCAATCGTCAAACTGGGTGAAACAGATTCGTATTTCGGATACTCAGTAGCCGGACACCAGTCGTATGATGAACTTAAGGCACAAATCGAACAAAGTTGGTGAGTAGACTGCGACACTTAGCTCCATGGACATTAATCATTTGTAATTCGCTTTTTATCTAATATTCAAATTTTTCAGATAACTTTGAAACAACTTATTGTTATAACTTTTTTAATAAACTTAATTAGAACATTTATAATTTCAATTCATTTATCCATTTTCAATTATGACAACATGATTCATTTTGAATTTATTTTTCAGGATTTTGGTTGGTGCACCTTTAGATCAAAACTTGCAACCTGGAACTCATCAGTCTGGAGCTTTATGGAAATGTCCATTGACTTCATTGCACAATGACTGTTCACAAGTTGTTACTGATGGAAAACGCAGTAAGTTTTTACCTATTTTTTTAAATTTTAAAAATTACTTAACTATTTTTCTTTTTACATTGAAATATATAAAATAATAATTTTTAACGTAAATTAATTTTGTAATCTCATAAGTTTTGAAAGTTTAATTAAGTAAATACGTATGATTATATTATACGAATATAAATACTACTTAGCTCATAATGACAATTTTATCTACATTGTGGGTATTATAATATCGTATTTGAGAATTTAGTTAATTTATATGTCATTTAAAAAATGTCTCATGAAATTTGAGTTACCATTGTCAAACTTTACTATAATAATTTTTATTTTGTTTTTTAACACAGACCTCGATAATGGACACTATGATCCCTGTAAGTGAAAGTATGGTAATATTTTGTGTTTGTTCATGGTTATTTTTTTTTACAGTTTGCATTTTGATATGTTATGTGTTTGCTCATAATAATTTATTAAAGCCTATATTTATGGATATTTATATTGATTGTTTATAACAAGCAATATGCATTGCTGTTATGTAAATATGCTTTATTTAGTTGGAGATTACAACCCACCAAATTAGTTTTTTATTTTTCATATTTGGAACATTTCAAAAACGCATGAACTAAAATGTATACATGAAATAGTTTATACTGTACTGTATTGTGTAATAATATTTAGCTTGATATTTATATTTTAATAATTTCCTGCTATCTAATAATAATATTGTTTGTTACCTATATTATATTAAGTACAATTTTTTTTTAAATACCCATTTTTGTTTGGTTACTATGCATTTGATATGTGAACATTTTTTTTAAATTTGTTTAATGCAAACTTGGACATCAACTAATACATTGTTTTTGGATTTTAGGTCTAATTTCAGTTTATCATATGGCATAGGTAATATTTTTGTGTCATTAGTTATTGTTTTGTTTTAATACTGTGTATATATATAAACCCATCTAGAATGAAAAAATAATTATTGTAACCTATTATAGTTGTTTGATTAGGTTGATCTTATCAAGTAATAAACAATAAGTTATAATCACATTAGTGTTTTAAAAACATCAATTTATTTGGAATTCAAAAAATAAGCTATGGGTAGTAATAAAAGATGTTATGAACCCTGATTTTGAAGGTCGAACCAAATTAATGAAACTTTTCTTAAAATTAACAAACCTGAACTAAACCGAATCATACTTTTAAAAAATTTGATTGAACTTAAACCTTTAAAAAGTAAAAAGTATAGATTAGGTTAGAGCAAAAACCTAGATTCTCAATCTTGGCACCATGATTTACTATTATGAGGTCCACTTATATGAAAAAAATAGAATTTTTCTTTTTCGTAACAAGGCTGCTCTATCCCATTACAGAACATCGTATTGGCGATTGCGCTAGATTGGCATCAAATAATAAGTTCAACCAAACTATTGGGTATTTGATTTGGTTTGATTATTTGTAATTTTTAGTTCGATTTTCAAATCGTTCGTTACATCTCAAGTAGTATTGTATTTTACCATACTTTTGTTTTTTCAAACTTTATGTTAAATTTTAAACTTAGCTAAGTATGTTTTGTTTTTGGTTTGTACTCTATGTAAGTTGTGTACTTATTTTTATAAAGTTTAACCCAAAACCATGGGGGAATCCTTTAAGTTATAATATTAAATTAAAATTAGGAAATGTTTAGTTATGATAAATGTAACTTTCAGTGTTATAATTTGTTTGTATTATATTTATTAAAATACAATATTATACATATACTACATCATAATTCTAAAAATATTTTGCATGATGCAATGGACTTACAATACTATTATGAATAGCTTTATGCTTTGTAAAAAAAAAAAAAAACAGGACCATATTTATAACATATATACATATGAAGTTTTAGCAACTTGGCTTCTTTATTTATTGTAACAATTTATGTATGGATAAAAATATCATTATTTTTGAATGGCATGTTAAATCGCACGTACACATTATTATTGTTTGAATTTTATCATTCTTTGTATGCACGTTGCAACCTATTAATATGAAATATTATTTTATTTTAGTTTATGTGACTCATTTTGATGTTTATTACTCAGCAATAGTCATAGGTAGGTACTGACAAGGTTAAAATTTCTATTTCACTCACCGACTTGATGTGTGCATGATATTATTTTTATTGAAATTTTATAAGATTCATAATTGATATAATAATATTTAATTTGAGATTAATTGATTTTTAAAATTGTATTGATTAGGTAATATATTTTGATGAATAGAATAGGTGAGTCACCACTTATGGAAATTCTGCAAAAAATATACATTATAGGTATACTTGAGTTTTTTCTGCCTTAGAATTCTATGATAATAATATAATTTTAGGAGATTTATAAAATAAAAAGATAGACATATTTCATATGTGGGTGCGCCACTGTTGTAGGTTTGAAGTTGGGAAAGTAGAGGGGAAATTTAATGTTTATCTGTACTCAACAATTAACCATTGTTAATGAAAAACGATTCTGAGTGGAGTTTGGTTAATAGTGTTGTTTTGTCAATAATATATACATCACATTATGGTAAATTAATTACATGTCTTTTATATTTCCTGTAATAATATTTGTTTAATATTTTATTTATTTTTCGATCTTCTCCATTTTTTGTGAAAACTCTTGAGAAAATCAAAAAAATGACCTCCTTAAAGTACAACTTAAGTGAGATTTCCTTTCAAAAAAAATTGCCACACATGTAAATCAAAGAAATATTTCTGGTAGAAAATTTCCAGTTTTTCCAATTTATTAAAACTGCTGGGGAAATCAAAAAATGACCTCCCTAAAGTGGCATGTAGATTGAATAATTTCTGTCAAAGGTGTTACACTTGATATATCAGAGCAAAATTTGGTAGAAAAGTTTGCACAATGAGGGGTATTTTTTGATTAAAATATTCTGAGCTAGCAATGGCTAGAGTCTCTAGGTACACCCAAAATACACTTGTTTTTTCCCTGTTTAAGTAAAGAGAAAAAACAGATGCAAACAATTATTTTCAGTTCATGGGTTTGAACTGGCGATCTCTAGGATGACAACAGGTACGTAATACCACTAGACTACAACAAACATACTTTAAATTTGACAATATAAAGTTATTTAACATAACATTATAATATCTGCATAATATCAGAATTTCAAAAAGTTATTATTTTGAAACTAAGTCAGTCTTAAATTGGTAATATACAAAAATTGAAAAATTAAATTTGTTCTAAGAAATTTTTTACTCAAATTATTTTGGTATAAAAATTTAATATTAAAATTCCTTTATAAAAAAAATAAAAAAATATTAACATGAAGCTCATTTTTTTTTACCACAAAAGACTTAATGAACCTACTATTCAATTTCCAAACATTATTTTTGTTAACAATGTTACCACAGAGTACTTACTGAATTAAAATTACATACAAAACGCACAAAGTTAAAAAAATGGCTAAATATTTAAGATTAAACATTTACTCATTATATTATTACATTACATTTTTATAACATTATTAAATTACTACTGTTTATTTATTATTTTCATTATTTTTTATCTTGCACAGTGGGTATGTGCATGTTTGTGAGTTTGGTTAGATTAGGTTTTGGAATACTCTTATGACCCACACAGTTTACCTAACCAAAGTCTCTACCTGTAGACCTAGACCCTGAATGGAAACCTCTAAACACACTGCTTTAATTTATTTTTTTCCTTAATTTCAATATTTAGTACTGATTGGGCAATAAATTAATTTGTGGCATCCATTTTAGACCACTTAATTTTAATTAAGCACAACTTTTTAGACTCTGAGCGAGAGAGCTATTGGTTTTACTAAGATATTTATTTATTTATTTTTTTCTAAGCGTTTCGAAATCAAATTTAAACGAAAATCGTAAAAAAAATTACAAAACTATGTATTACCGAACTGCGCTCAGAATAACCTTTCGTCAAGCATTGGTTAATAGTTGCTTACAGATATAAATTAAATAACCTTATGTATCCTACCTTCCCAACTTCTCACCTACAACAGTGGCCGCTCCCATCCCCAGTATCAGCTCTTTTTCAATATGTGGACCTATTACTTACTGCATGCCAGTAGCGACATTAAAGTTTTTGTTAAAATAGGAAGTGGAGAGGGGCGGATTAAATATTCAAATAGGTAGGTATTTGAAAAACTAAATTTCTTTACAAATGTTTACAACCTGTTATTAATACAAACTTTCAACTAACAAACATTGTAGGTTAGAATCACATTTTTGGAGGGATTTATACAATTCGTATTTTATTTAAGGTAGGTATATTATTGTAACGTAGGTAAGAAAGATATGATTTATGTATTTAAATCGTCAAATAATAATATATAATTTTGTGTTACAGAATATAGGTTAACGCCTTAAAATACGTAATTGTATGTGCATTTTGTAATGATATTTAATTTAATTACCCATGTAAAAAATTATATTTGCAATGAAAATAATGAAATTTACAAAACGCTTAAAAATTGTAGTTTAAATAAGCTTACAAGATATAGATGGGAATTTAATGTATATTTGTAAGTAATAATAAACCTTTGCTAACGAAAAAATAAATAAAAACGGTTGCCAATGACAACTTTATTTTTAATCTTTCAATTTTTTGTAACTTAAAGAACCAGATTTTCGTCATTATTTCAAATATAAATGAAAATTTCAAAAAATGACTTCTTCAAAGTATCACCAGGAGAATATTTCTTTTTAGAAAAAATGCTATACTCGATAATTAGAGTATGCTTTCTGGTTGAAAAAGTGTTCACATAAAAAAAAAATAAACATCATTATAATTTGTCATTTATATAAACTACCTTGAAATAAATTTTAATCCTACCTATAAATAATATACGCATCTAAAGAAATATATAACTTTAGATTCTGAGTGGAGCGAAGAAGCTTATGGTTTTACAAAGAACACATGGTTGTTTATTTTATTATTATTATTATTTTTTGATCTGTAGACAACTTTTCTACCAGAGATCTTACTCCGATTTTTATGTTTAGCACTTTTTCTGGAACGAAATCAGTGCGGGGAGGTACATTAGGGAAGTAATTTTTCGTTTCACTCTAGAGTTTTCTCATCAAATGTGAAACCGAAAAAAACGCAGGGAAATGTACGAAATTTATTTGTGCATTACTATTTTTTTTTCTGTGCACAATTTTTTTACCAGTAGTTATGCTTAATTTATAATGATAGTAATGTTTCTGAAAAAAAAATCTTACTGGGGAGGTACTTTAGAGAGGTCATTTTTGATTTTTCCAGGAGTTTTTCCAGCAAATGTGAAAAACTGGGATAAAACATAAAAAAAAATCAGGAAAAACATAGGAAAAGATAGGAAATTGTTGTGTGGCTAAAGCCACTGAGAAACTTCGATACAGCTTTGATCATTTTAATTGTATTAATTTTAATTAATTGACTAAAGATAATGTAATATGATTTTACTGTGGTAATTAAAAATCTGATGTCAATTATTAACATCCTATTTAACTCCTGACCCCTTGCTGTATTTTTCAACTAATAATATTCGATTAATATTGTGGATAAACACACAAAATGAGAAATCTAGTACAACAAATAATGGGTTTGAATTTATTTTGGGTAAGCAACATGCAGCAGTTTTTTTTCACCTTGTGTCAAGGTATATTTAAGATAATGATTCACAAGTGTGAAGCTCACCTGAATAAGATAATTTTTTCAGTATGTTGCAATAAAAAAAAAAAATAACAGCCATTAGGAATGATAATTTTTAAAAATATAAATGGGCAAGTCCTCGAAAATATTTTTATAATTTTAATTTTACCATCTGTGTTTAAATTCTTACTTCAACCTAAATGCTAAAATTTACAATTTATGTTCTAAGTAACATAATTTTAATATGTTGTCTGTTAGTTAGACTGAGATGGTAAATGCAGATACCTATAGCTTCCTCTTAATATTGTTGATTTTTTTTGTTATTTGTTCTCCTAACACAATGTTTTTGGATACCTATGACATTCATTTCTAATGAACATCTTTATTTTTTCTTCTTTTAGTAGTGTGCTAAAGGAAAAAGAAAAGAAAACTTTTATATATTTGAACAGACATGCTGTTGTTTTAATATTGAATTGTTAAGAGTACAGTATTCATACTAGTATTTGATGTCCTACACTTATAAGTGTATAATCATAGGTAAATGTATTTTGGAATTCAATTTTTAAGTCTACTGGGTTAATATTAGAATTATATGAAAACAAACTATTACAACTTCGTTTTAACACTGATACTTTTCTATATTTGGATATTAAAGCTAATTATAATAAAAATATATAAAATTGATTGTTGAAATATTGACAATTATCACAAAAACAAATATTATGTAGTTCTACCGGATTATTTTCTAAAGCATTTTGAATAGTATATTTATCTTACTAGTTAGATATAATTTAAAAGCTTCCCAAACCATTTTGATCTGTCAGTACAATTTTTTATGGTGCAATGGAGTAATCAATATACACATAGACTTATAGTTATAGAAATATAAATAAATATTTTAATAGATTTTAATATGGAAATATAACCATATTTCAAATGTCTCTAATTAAATTGATTAGGGAGGTACTATTCTAAAGATAAATACAAATAAATAACTAAAAGTTTATTCAAAAACTTTTTTAAAAAAAAGATTATAAAAAAATGAATTATTTGTTCATTTAAACTTTAGGGTCATTGTCTTTATTAAAAATAGTGTGTAAATACTTATGGGTCCATCATTTAATGGTAAATTCTGATCAAACCAAGGATTTCTGATAATAAACAATGATGATATAAAACGTATTTTAATATTATTGTCGCTATTATTTTTTATCCAAAAAATATGTAGATGGTATATTTACCTAGATACCCTAGGGTATTTTACTGCTGTCCAAATACATAAATTACAAAATATTCTATTATTTTTTATAAGTAGGACAGAGAAATTATAGCTCAAATATGCATTTTCTATGCAAAATAAAATAACCCAAAATATGTATTAAAAATAAAACTTAAAATTTATTTACTAAATTTGTTTCACTTAGGTAATTAATAGTTACAACTTGCAGATACTTCTTCCAATTCCAAAATAATAGTTTCATATTTTTAAATGTTGTTTAAAATTCTTTAAATAACACTTCAGAACTGAATTCATACACATAATTTTAGATTCTGAGTGTAGCGAAAAATGTATTGATTTTCCAAGCTGTTCTCATAATATCTGGGAAAAACCAGGATAAAACGTAAAAGAAAAACGAGAAATGTACGAAATTAATGTTTTTATTATTTTATCAATTTTGTTATTTGTTGTAATTTAGTTAAAAAAAAATTCGTAGAGACTTGAAATTTAAACAGAAAACTTAAATTTGTCTTTTCTAGACGAGGTGAAATTTTCAAAAAATTTAAGCCATTTTTGAGATATTTATAGATATTTTAATTTTTTGAGTTTTGTACATAATTTTTATTTGGTAGGTTGCAGTAAAATTGTTAGACTTAACAGAAATTCTTGAAAATTCAACATGATGTTCATTAAGACTCTTATTTTGTAGTAAAAAAAAAATGAGTTAATGTGGTATTTGTTTTTTATAAAGGAACTTTGATACTACATTTTGACGTAAATTGTTTGAGTAAAAAATTATATGGAACAAATATTTATATGATTTAATTATATGTGTATATTTCGAAATTATAGCTTTTTGAAGTTCAGATATTATGCAGATATTACATGTTTATGTTAAATAACTCAATATTGTCTACTTTTTTTTCTTTTTTACCCAAATAGGGAAAAAATAAATGCATTTTAAGTGTACCTAGCTATCGCTCGCTCCGATGATTTAAATCGCAAAAAACAGTCGATTTGTTATGAAAAGTTTTTTACCAGAAATCTTGCTCCCATATATGAAGTGTAGCTTATTTTTTGAAAGAAAATTTTATCTTCATGGTTTAGGGAGGTCATTTTTGTGATTTTTCAACCGGTTTTCATAAAATCTGGGAAAATCCGGGATAAAATGTCAGAAAAACAGAAATTGTACGAAATGTAGGTATTAGTAAAAAAAATATTATGGCCTTTTTTTTTTTATGTACAACTTTTCTACCAGAATTTTAGCTCCGATTTACAATGATAGCACTTCTTATGAAAGTAAATTTGACTGGGAAGGTATTTTAGGGAGGTCATATTTCGATTTTACCAAGAGTTTTTTTAGCAAATGTGATAATCCAGGAAAAATGATATAATATTAAATAAATATTGTTAAAAAATGATTATCCTAGAAATATCCCAGGACGTCATTTTTTAATTACAAAGATAATAATGATTTAACTTTTCATCATTTTGTTCATAAAAATAAAATAAACTTCAGAGTATAGTGAACCATTTAGAAACACAGAACACTGGAATATGAATATGAAAACCTTAGTGTGCAAACATTCAACAATCATACTATATGATAAAAATTTAAATTATACTTAAATTTAACAATTTTTGTTGTATTATTGAATGAAATAAAATCTATTTGGTTCTTAATATACTATTTTTAGTTAGTTATAATGTTTCTAGTATAAAACAAATATTCAAATACTAGAAGTCCTCTGCCCTAGTTATAGGTATTGCCACTAGATAATATCTGAGCCTTTTAATGAATATTTTTTGTTTATAATTTTGCATCTATTTTTTCTCAACAGATAGCATAAAAATTTCATTCAGTATATTATAAAATAATATTATATTTTGCTTATCCGTAATTTTATGTAAATTGTAGAATAGCCTAAAAAAAAAATATGTTGTATATTATAAAACTCAGTCATAATAAATTTCGTCACAATTGCATGATATTATAATATATTATGAGTAATTATATTAATGTATTTAAATTTGGTATCTGGTGTAAACACTTGTATGGTCATCATACCATATGAGAAGAAATACAATTTCTCAAGTATGGAAATCATTCAGAAATTAATCAAATCATTGTTTCTATTTATGTAGTGCCAATGAATACAATGTATTGTACACAGTAGATATTAATATGCTTCAATAAAATAGCATAAATATTATTTTATACATACACACACACACACACACACACACACACACACATATATATATATATATATCAAGTTATTATTGTAATTTGTATTTTTTTTTAGCTATTGATTCTATTAATCTTTCACGGCCTCTGGATAGTGAAATTAAAGATGGTCAATGGTTAGGTGTAGTAGTACGAAGTCAAAGGCCTGGTGGAAAAGTGATGGTATAAATAAGACATATTTTGATTTAAATAAACAGTGTAGTAATAACATCATCAGCAAAGAAATAATTATATTTCTTTAAAAAATCAATTTATCATTAAGGGGGCATCACAATAATATTTATCATCTAATGGATAATATAGCGAAAATGTGTTTTCATACTTTCAATAGTACAGTACTTAGGACAAATCTGGGCAATTTACTTAACTTTAGTAACTGACTAAGTTACAGTTAATTTCCTTAATTAACCCTTGAGGCACACATTATTTTTAAAAAAATTTTTTTGGAAAATATTAAATGTTAGCCCTCATATTACATATAAAAAAGAAACAAAAAATAGGTGGTTTCATTATAATACCATAATGCTTCAAAGGATTACTTAGTAACTTAGTTAAGTTCCAAGTCCCTAAATAAAAAAAGTAACTTGTTAATTACTAGTTACTAATCAAAAATGTACAAGTTACAAAGTTACAAGTTGAAGTTACAGTTTAAATTGGCTTTATTTTTTAATTACTTGTTATAATAGTCACTTGTCAAAAATATATAAGTTAAAGTGATTTTAAATATTTTTTTTATTAAATTTTATTAAATTTTAATAGTAATATTTAGGTGTTGAACAAGGTTGTTGTATCGAATTTAATAATTCTGAGTTGCAAGATTGGTGATGAAATGATGAAAACTAATTTGAGTCAATGATTGCAGAAACGCCATGAGTTAGTTTTTAAAACTTTTGATATTTGATAAAAGCTGTATAATATCTGTATAAATAATTTTGAAAAAAAAAATTTTACTTGAGAATAAATACTTACTGAAACATCATATACTGTTTATATATAATTCCAGTGTAAAAATAATCTAATGTGTATTTATTATTGACTTTCAAAGTTTGAAAAACAGACTTAAAATTTGTGACTTGTGAAATTTCTACCATCATGTAACTCTTTTGATTCAAATAAAAAGTAACTAATTAAGTTACAAGTTACAAGAAAACTAAAAGTAATTTAGTAAGTTACTGATTTGTGTAACCTTGTAAATTTATTGTAACTTGGTAACTAGTTATTGCCCAGCTTTGACCAAGGATCCAATTTCACCAAATTAAAGACATTTATTATGTTTTATATAGTGATTTTTTTTTTAAATCTATTTCCCAGATAATCTTATACTTCAAATTTTAAAAAAAAATTTTTTTTTTATTTTTTTATTTTAATGGTAAATTGTATAATGAATGTATGAAAAAATCCTTTATGAAAGCATAATAAATGTGTTTAATTTGGTGAAATAATTTTTGTTTTATGTTTATTAGATTCTGAGTACTATTTTAAGTATGAAGACACATTTTTGCTATATTGCTCATTTGATAGACAAACATAATGATACTGTGAGACTCTTAAATATCCAAATAGAAATATTTTGAAATATTTAGTAAAACATATAAATAGAACCTTGTATTTATAAATATAAAATAATTTTAGGTTTGTGCTCATAGATATATAAACCGAGGTACAGAATATCAATGGGGACAAGGCTTGTGTTATACTTTAACACAACACTTAGAATTTATGGAATGCTGGGAGCCATGTAAAGGTCGAGAAACAGATAAGTAAGTTTTTTTTTTTGGTAAAATGTTAGATTTCGTTTTTATAAAATTAATTAAATTTGTAAATATAATTTAGAGGTCAAATGCAATTTGGTTATTGCCAAGCAGGTACTAGTGGAGTACTATTAGAAGATGACACTGTTGTTATTGGTGCACCAGGGTCATATAACTGGAAAGGCAATATATTTATGGTCAATGTATCAGATGACTTTTTACTCAGAGATAAAACCTGCTACTATAGTCCTGTTCGGGATGTTGATGTTTCTCCTGTTGACAGTAATAGTTATTTAGGTATGATTTTATTACATAATTAATATTTGTTTAATATATTGTGACTTTATATATTAGTTCAATAACATAACTAAATTTTTTTATTATTATTGTTATTATTGTTAATGGATGGTTTAATTTACTTAAATCTAGGTTTGACAATATTTTATAAGTTTACTATTGATATTTATGTTTTTATTTTTCAGGTATGTCTACTATTGCAGCTTACTTTTTAGGCAGTCAAATAGTTTATGCTGCTGGTGCACCACGTGCAAATGGAACGGGGCAGGTTATACTATTTACTACATTTAAACCATCTGTAACTCTTATGGATGTACAAGTTGTAATTAGTGGAGAACAGTTTGCGTCAAGTTTTGGTTATGAATTGGCGACTGCTGATCTCAATGGAGACAAGTGAGTAGAATTTGTTTTATATTTTATTTATTTTATTACATATAGTACATATTTTTGGCATTAAAGTTATTTATTATTTAAAAATTGTATCTAGACATTTATTTATATAAAAAAAAAAATACATATTTACTTATAATAATTTAAAAATATTTATATTTAATATAGGGAACCAGATTTAATTGTTGGTGCCCCATTTTATTTTACAAAAGAATCTGGTGGAGCTGTTTATATTTACATGAACAACAAAGATCATTGCCTTGATTGCAAAGCACCAGTAAAACTTGTCGGAAAACCAGAATCCAGGTTTTGAAAATAAACAAGTTATTTATGTAATAAAATATTATGTTTTTTTTAAAATGTTTTTAGATTTGGATTTGCAATCACAAATTTAGGTGATTTAAATAAAGACGGTTTTGATGATATAGCCATTGGTGCCCCATATGAAGGCAATGGAGTTATTTATGTGTTTCTAGGATCTATTCATGGTATAAATATCAAACCTTCACAAGTAAATTTAGCTGTTTTATATTGAATAATTTAAAAGTATTTTACATTTGACATTTGATATATTTAGATAATTAAAGCTGAGGATTTAATGGTGCACAATCTAAAAATACACACCTTTGGATACTCATTAAGTGGTAATGGAGTTGATTTAGATCAAAATGGATATCCAGATTTAATATCTGGTGCTTATGAAAGTGATATGGCAATATTGATTAGAGCCCGGCCAATTGTGGATATTACAATTTCTGTTGATCAAGAAAAACTGAGCAATATTGATCCCACAAATCTCAGTTGTTCTTCTAACGAAACATCCTCAGTTACTTGGTAAAATTTCAATAATTCTTATATGAATATCCATTGTATCATCATTGTACATTTACAATACATTTTTTGTTGATTTAGTTTTACATTTGATGTATGTTGTTCGTTGAAGACCATAGTTAAAGCAGATTTGGATGGTCATTGGGACATACAGTTGCATTATAAATTAGAAGCAGAGACTTTTCAAGAAGGACGTAAATTTTCAAGACTTTGGTTTGGACCAGATCATTTATCAAAATTACAGATTGTAGAAAATAATATTTCTGTTGACCACAATAAAGATAAAATGTGTACATCATTCACTGCATATCTTAAAGTATATTTCTTATCAATCAAATTAAACCATATTTAACTGTTAAATGTATTATTTTTAGGAAAACACTATGGACATTCAGTCTAAAATACCTTTGCGTATTTCTTATTTATTGATACAAAATGATATTCCCCTTCTTAAACCTGGTGATCCAGTACCATCTTTAGCTGATTTTCCTGTATTAAATCAAAATCAAGCAGACAAAATATTCTTTGCTACATTTAATAAAGACTGTGGAAATAATGATAAATGTGAAAGCCAAGTTCACGTGAATGCAGAATTAGTGTTACCAAAAACATCAGGTAAATATATATTTATATTAATTGCAATTATTAAATGAAATTACTAAGTATTTAATTATCCTGTCTTCTTGAATTTAAATTTTAAAATTATTATAACTCATTCATGATTTAATTCAAATATTTTATTTTTAGCCAATGAATATGAGTTAGTAATGGGCCAACATGTTGAAATACTTTTAAACACTACAGTTTACAACCTTGGTGAATCTGCATATGAAAGCAAATTGTTTGTAGCTCATCCATACTCATTCAATTATATCGGAACTATGAAATTTAATGATGTAAATTAAACTAAGAAATAATTATTTTATGAAATAAATTAAGTCAAATATTTTTTAGACAAAGCAAGTTGATTGTAATCCATTCAACAAGACAATGGTTGTCTGTGCTCTTGGAAATCCATTAAAGAAGTATGCATCTTCCAACATTCTATTGCGATTTGATCCAAAAGAATTGAATGATGCTGAAAATCAACTGGAATTTATAGTAATTTCAAATACTACATCTCATGAAGTAGAACCACAAAGCCCACTTATAGTACGTACTAATGTGATAAAGCAGGCTGAATTATCATTGAAAGGGTATAGTATTAAATTAATTAATTTGATCGTGTTATAAGTATTTTATTTTTATTTTTATTGCTGATTAAATTTATTTCAGGTTGGCACGTCCAGAACGAGTGTTTTATGGAGGTCAAGTTAAAGACAATTTTGTTGTCAAGTATCCAGATGATGTGGGTTCTAGAGTTTTACATACATATCAAGTTTTTAACTCTGGACCCTGGAAGGTATCTAATTTAGAAGTGCATATAGACTGGCCATATCAGGTAGCTAGTCATACAACAGGGAAAGGGTTATTATATCTCGATGAAAAACCATATGTTGAAGGTAAATATTTCAGATCATGTTGGTGCTGTAAAATGTTTAGGCAATTTTTGTTGTAAATTGTGAACTTTGGAATTTGTTTAGCTTTAAGTGGGGGAGAATGTTATATGTCACAAGGGCAAGTAAATCCATTGGGTTTACCAATGAGGCCTGGTATTCAAGAAATGCCATTGGATACTATCCGATCAGAGAACATAGCTTTAAACAATCTCATGTCCTCCAAATTATCAACTAACATGATAAAAAACAGTAGTGGTGGTTATTATCAGAATAGAATTCGTAGGGAACAAAATTACATCATACAGCCAGAAACATACATCAAAGAAAATGAGAAACATCTAGAAATTGTTAAAATGGTAAGCATTGTTACCATTACTATTTGCTTATTTCTATTTACTTACTGTATATTTTTTAGAATTGTTTATTGGGAAATGCAAAGTGTTTCCAGTTTTACTGTCTGATAAACAATTTGCAAAAAAATCAAGAGGCTACTATTTTTATTAAAGCAAGGTAATAATTTTATTGATAAAGCCTGTAAGTAAATCAAATAAGAGCATTATATCTGCAACATTTCTCTTTAGCTCACAACTTGTAAATCCGAAAAGAGAGTTTTGCTGATTATTTACAATAGTTATATTAAATTTATAGTATATAAGTTTTAAAAATATATCCCAAACCAATAAAAATTTGACTGGTCACTAAAATCTGCAGTGTACATTAACACCTAGTTTTATAACATTAATAGCAGACAGATATTATATAATACCAAGTGATCCATTTAAGTGTGTACACTCATTATCTTGGAAAGTATTAACCTTTTTGGAATTTGTTTTCTAGAGGATTTTTGAAACAAGCAGCTTTACAATTTTATATTTATGTTTTTTATGGCAATGCTGCCATACAAACAATGCTCCATTACTCTCCCCGACACAAAATTAAAAGCAGAATATCTCGTTAAGGGATTGACAGAAATCAAAAATTTCAACATTAAAATTATTTATTTTAACTAATACTTCATCTATTTGTGGACTTTTTAATATAATTATCCATTTTAAAATCAAAAGTAGGTGTGGTTTAACTTTTAAAAATAAGGGTGACAAAAAATAACAGATATAAAATTGTAAAGCTGTTTGTTTCTTAAATGTTCTAGAAAACAAATTCTGAAAAAAGCTAATACTTTCCGACATATGAGTGCACCCATTTAAATGGATCACCTAATATATAATTATAAATAATTTATGTTGGCTGAATTAATGTATGTATTAATTATAAAAGTTTATTTTCAAATTTTTAGATTATGGAATGCTACTTTATTAAGAGAATTTCCTAAAGTTGATTCAGTTAAAATTGTATCCCGTGCAAAAATTCATATACCACCTAATCTATCTTTGCAACAAAATCGTTCAGATGATGAGTTTGAAGTAAGTATTTGACCTTTTGTGCACTTTCAATGAATGATGATGATTAACTTATTGAGATGTCTAATGTATATTATAAAATATGAAAATTTAGTATTGGATTTATTTAGATAATTTTAAATGTGTGAATGTCTTCAAATTACTATAGTTAGAATATTTTTGGCTTTGCTTTTAAAAACCTGAATTTTAATAAATGAAATATAATTAATAGAAATATTTATAGTCCATTCAACTTAAGAGTATAGGGTGAGTGGATGAAGCCCTGCCAATACTGGGAATGGGACCACATGCACAAAAGGAGATGTGTTTTCTATGTTTTCTACTCTTAAGTTGAATACGAGTATATCATTATTAGGGGCTAAATAAATTATAGATTATATTATGCATTTTAAAATTTTAATATCTATGCAAGCAGAAAATTATTAAATTTTTTAGTTTACCATAGGTCAGATTACACAAGATATTTATAAAAAAAAATTATATATCTTACTGAATTTAATAATAAAATTACAAATGTTCTATGAACAGGTGGAGACAATTGCCAAAGTAGATTTGTTGGAACAAGAAAGTGAATCAATTCCTTGGTGGATAATTATATTAGCAATTTTGATAGGTCTCCTTTTGTTAATATGTTTAACATTGCTGTTGTGGAAATTGGGTTTTTTCAAAAGAAGACGACCAGATCCCACACTCAGTGGGAACATTGAAAAACACAGAGTAGATGATAATTATTACGATTATTAATAATAATAATAATAAAAAAAAAATAGACAATTATATATTATTATATTTTTTTTTTTTACATTTTTATAAAATATTTTCATAATATTTTTATACGAAATATACTAAGACAAATGGTACTTATAACAATAATTATTAAGTAGAATTATTTTTTATATGTATTTATAATGTTTAGATTTTTTTTATAATCTTTATATTAGATAATATCTAGTTTTAAATAATTATTTTTATCTTCCTAAATATTTCTATGCAAATAACAAACTTTAGCTTAGCTTCTTAGTATGATTATTATTCATAATAATATTAAACTAACTATAGAATTATATTTTTTTTTTTCATTATCTACCTATTGTGTTTTGTAATGTTATGCTCACACAACATAATATACATGTATAATTATTTATCATTTATATCATTACAAAAATGTAACTGAAAGATTCAAATGTGGCCGAGTACTTGGTATTTTACAAAATGTAAATAATTTAATAAATATGACGGATTGTTCGCTATTCGAGAGGGATACAAGCTTATCTACAAGCAAAATAATTTAAAATTTGTCAAATATAATAGAACTGCATGCCATCTGCTGCGGCCCTTTGAAACCACTGCCGCCTCAATCATACTACTGTATATTATCTTATTCTCGCAATTCGTTTATTAGTTATTCTATATTGACATCGACGCGAAGGCCATGTATTCCGTCTTTTTACGCCCACAAAATCCAATGGTTTTTTTTTTTTATCATTCGAGAAAAATCAATATCTGATCTATTACTTTCATTAAGAACATTTAAATATGAGTCAAATAAAATTAAGCATTAGGTACACAATATCAATCGGCCCTTTGATGATGCCGCCGTTTCGTCATCATTCTTTCGCACTAAATATCATTATAATTATTTCTATAAAAATTTCAAATCAACACATAACACTATTTTTTAGTGGTCGACCTTTTTTTTGGTTTATTTAAACACATAAAATTGAATGGTTTTTTCTAATTGAAAATGAAGCGTCTTGATCCCTCGAGAAACCCCAAGACGAACACTCTGTCGAGAATTCTGCACACAGCAACAACTACGCTTCACCAACTTCTTTCCAGGATCCCTCTTGAATAGCTAGCTCCGACTTTTAGCAGCTATAATCACTCGTGTTCGATTTATTTATTAATTCACTTTGTAATTCAACCTTTTATTTTCCTAATTTAAAAATTAGCATTTTTTATCTGAGTGCACACAGGTGTTAAATGATAATTAATTAAATTAGTTTATCTTAATTAAATTGTGATTGCCGTCCAACGACTCCAGGTTCACTTGAGGTTATCCATAAGTATACACTATAGTATTCCAACACCGTGGGCAGGTAATATAATTATATTTTTCTTTAGTTATTGATTTCGTTACCATTCTCGGATTCACGACTTCGAAACCCTTTCAAACATAGGAAGGAAGGTAGTAATAAAACTAGTAGGCTGAACTTTTATTATGATTAAAGATTAATCATTCTTTGTAGTACCAAAACTTAGATCGATTATTTCACACTATATAAGCACATTTTTATACCTACTCCTTTATATTTCATTCTTTGTAGGTATTTTTACGTGATTATTCTATAATTTCAAATATATTTGTCTTCTATTTCTATACTTAATGTCCTAAGTCTACTACTATCCCCTTAACCACGACTCTCTTAATATTTCCCCGTTTAAATCTCTTTTAACTCCTCTTATTTGCTTCCCCTTTTTATTTTTCCTATTTTTTGTATTACTACAGTTTTATTAATGATTTAGATCTTGATAAACTGTATAGTTGTATACACTAATTGACCTAATCCATATTTTTTTAATTTTTGCATACACTCAACAAAATACTGGTATAATATAAGTATTAAAGGCTACAGCTTAATGTTAACTTAATATTTTTAAGTTTTCAGAAAATAAATTAATAATGAGACATTATATAAAGTACTTTTTATTCTTTACTATTAGGTGTAGTAGTTTACAAAAATTGAAACCTGCACATGCAGATTAGGTTAATTGCTTATCTATGTAGGTAAGCAGTTAGGCACCCATTGGAAAGCTGTTAGGTTATTTTTTTAAGAACCTTTGTACACATTTCAAGCGTGCTTATACTATATTCACTGATTTTGAATATATAAATGGAAAATGATAGAAATACCAAATAAACAATTTTTTTAAAATATATTTGAAATATTGTTTTAAGATTCACTTATAGATAAACTATTAATTAAAATTAACATTTTTTTATTTTTGTAAAGCCATTTCAATATTCATTGTTAATCCATAAATGCAATATAAAAACTTATAATATTAATATTAGTAAGTAATAATATACATTGTCTAGGTATAAAAACTTTTTTAAATAATGAATCAGTATCATATTTATAATTGTACTGTTGTGGTTATTGTTTTTTTTATGTCTGTGAGTTGTTTTGAATTAAAAGACACAGTGACAGTTGGCTGTCCTTCTTTTTCTGGCTTAAACATTTCTTTGTGTGTGACATTCTTTTCATTAGGCAGTACATTCCTGCAAAATAATAAGTAATGATCAAAAACCAAAATTAAAGTTTGTAATATATACTATATATGGGGTTATTTGTATGAATTATAGCTTTAGGATATGTCTTAGAATTTCCCCTTTAATGCATTTATTATTAAAATGATATCTATAATTATTTTTATCATTATGCTTTTGTGGTTATAATTTACTTAATATTATAACTACATTATTGGGTTACAAAAACTTTTGGAAATCTTAATTTTTACACAATATAAAGAACCTACTACTTATTTGTACTTACTAACAATATTTTTCTGTTTTCTTCCAAAATATTTTAAAAAAATTATGTACCTGCCTACATACATATAAATTAAATGTTATTGTTTCGTGTAAATTTTCAAAAAAATTTATATTATAATATAAAATCATCAAAATAAGGTATTAAAAAAAAAAATTGCAACAGTTTACAGATAATTAGGGGTAAAAATGTATTTTGTTTTAAACATTACTGTGATGAGGTTCGGGGGGGTTTTTATTTATGTACAATTTTTTTGAGGGACAAGATTATGCTTGAGTACCTATAGGTATTCTAGGTATAAAGCATAGTGCTGAGTATCAAATTCAAATTAAAACAAACGTGGACTTTTATACACATACAACAAAATGAGGCAGGGCCAGACTACTTTTTAGCCTCGCTGGTCTGGCAGGGTTAGAAATTAGAGACCCGTGCAGGTCTCTAGTACATGCCTTCTATCTAGTTTCTATTATTTTAGTACCTAGCCCGTTTTAGACAAATTAATGGATTGGATCCGAGATCTAGATTGACGAATTGGATCCATAAATTTGGGTTATGTAATTGAAATCCAGACTGTGATTCCGAATTTGTCATAATATTGTTCAGAACTAGAACCGAAAGATATTTTAATTTTTTCAAAAATTTTATTAAAATTATAACTTGGACCTAAGTAGGTACTAAGTTTCATTTATAACATGCTGTATTTTTTTTAATTGTATTTTTATTGAATTTTTTTTATGCAAGTCCTGAATTTATAGGTATTATTGTATTTTAATCTATTAGTTCTAACCTACCTGAATTTGATAACTCTGTGGATTGCCGGACCTTCGATGCTGAATGTGCATTCGGTCAAGGCAACGGATAGTGGGTTGTTGAATGAGAAGGTTGCCACGCATGGTTCGTCCACTCTCGGCTCTGAGGATAACTGCAAATTGTGTAAAAAAAAAGTTATATTTTATATGTAATATACAGAGTTAGATTAAGAAGGACTAATAATAATATCATGCATATTATACAAACTTGTATCTCCTAGTTTCATTTGGGTGGTCTGTGAGGTCGTTCAAAGCTTAACCCCCCCTCCCTCTTGCAATAAATTTCTAGAATTAGAACTCAACCCAACTTTTGTCTGCCTTTAATAACTCTATTATTCCCTAGTTTGAACTAATTTGGTTCAGAAAGAGTTATTAGAAGTGTACAAAAGTAGCATGAAAAAGATAGTACATTAGAAGTACCTATTATAGATATATTACAATAGACATGATATCTAGTTTATATTTTCGAAGAAAAATAAAAATAAAAAAAAATATATATATATATATAAAAAAAAGATTTAGAAAATAATTAAATAGATTGTACAATTATGATTTATTTACAACATTTTTAATAACTTTTTATACACTTTTATAACTATTTTTAACACTTTTTGACAAAAGTCGTTTATTATTGTGGTACCATGGCTATACTTGCAGAAAAATATAGACAGTGGTTTGCGCAGGAATTTTCAATAGGAAGGGGAGTAGTAAATAAGTATCGAAAATCGTCTTCTCTATCCAATTCGACTATGGGAATTAGTAACTTAAAAGCTGGATCATAAAAAATAACCAATTACAAACTAATTACATTACTAATCAATACAGAGTTTTTCTCGACTTGGCTTGCATTTCAATGTTAGATTACTCATATTTTTTACATTTTAAGTTAATGGAGAGGATATAACATCTAAATCCCCCCCCCTACGCACGCCACTGAATAATATATACATAAATATACGAAATTTAAGATTTATTGTATGCAACTATTGTTTTTTGATCTGCATTAATAAAAAAAAAAAAAAATTTAGGATTTTTCTTGTTTTTTAATATTGTACCTTTTTTTATTTTATTCATATTTATTTCATACTCATTTCATAATTGTAAAATACTTTTATTTGAAGTAATTTTAAGTGAAACTTGTTATACAAGTGTAACCATTCTTTCGGTAACTAAATGATGAATTATTTAATGATTTAAAGCATTTCCAACCTCTAAAAAAATATTTAATGGAGGTTTCAATGGTTGATTTATCAAAACTATTAAAAAATTAAGTTTTAAAAGTCTAAATGAGTAGTAAAATGTAAAATATTTAATTTGTTTTTTTTTCTGGTAATTTTTGATTTTGTCGTAAAAATTATTACCTAATTATATAAAATTAAAAACTAAAATAATTCCACTTTTTTCCTAAAAACGATGCTTGTGACCTTAAATGATTAAACTCTAATGAACATGATATTATGAAAAGAAGAATATCTAATAAAAAAATAAACCTTTAAACACCTTAATATACATATACACTAAACAGGTATTTTTTTCTTTCTCATTAATTGGGCTCTGACATCGTGCCGTTATAGATTTTTTCAGTATTATAGCGCTATAACACCAAACATGTAGGTATTACCTACGTACTGGATATCAAACAAATTCTTTAATAATATTTCACTTACTTCAATGTTCAGTTCCGGCTTTTGTACGGCAAAGTCGTCGTCTTGGCTCCACAACTGCCCCGTTTCCTGGACGTTAACTACGGCCGTTATTCTTATCAAACTATGCGCCGACAGCTTGTCCATGTACTCAGATGGTTTCACGTATACGTGGATGTTTTCACCTAAGACAGTAGGTTAGGTTTTATAACAGTAATTGGTTCGTAGCAAACTCAACATATTATGTAGGTATTAAAATAATAACGTGGGCCAAATGGGTGTATAGGTTGATTGATATTGACAAAAATTTGAATAGTTACTATATAATATTTAAAGAGTGACGTGATATCGTATCGAAAATGTATGTTTTGATTCATAAACCGAAGAATTTCCATCTTCTTGGGTGAATCCTTATTAACTCACTGTTTTCCCTTCTCTCATAAATGCGCTCATAAGTATTTACGCCATATACCTACTCATATTATACCAGAACAGGTTTATAAATCTGTCCTCTCTCTAATTATTTGTTCTATGCCTAGGTACACGCTACTTCTAGACTATAGATACTATAGATAGGTAACCACCTAATTATTTTATTGATTCCTAAACGTCAATTTAACGTTTTAATTTTTGTGTTACTTAAGTACCCACCTATACTGTCATTTTTATTTCAATTTATTCAATATCTATATACTATAATATGTCCTATACTCAATTCATTGAATACCCACGTTAATTGGTTAATCTTCTAATTTACTGTAATCTTTAATATCTACATTAAATACAATTACATACTTTGGTTAGGGTTTAGAACTATGTTGGCTTGGCTTCTTTTAACCTTGTTGATTGTGGTTCCGGTGTACAGTATCGACAATGCGGAAAGAACGACAGAAATTGTCCGCTGTTCCGTCGACGTATTCTATATTAAAATATATATATATATATATATATATGTAGGTATAATATAGTATAGTATACAGATAAATAAATAACTAAAACAAATTAAAAAACATGATTGCCGTTAGAAATAGTGAAAATGAAAATGATTATGAGCGAAGTTGGTTTATGATTTTTATGGTCATAAGGTCTAACACACTGCAAAAAGTGTATGTAGTTTGGTTGGGTTTTCTTTTCTTATACCTCCTTATTTATTGTCTATTTTCTTCTAAAATTGATGATTTTTAGTGTTAAATGAATTAATCTTTAAATCAGTTTTACTTTGAATTTCAATAATTATGTCGATTACTTTGTGTATTTGTGGATGAATAGCGTAAAACTGATTATTACCTACCCGTATAATGTTTTTGAAAGATAGACGGTTTTCGTAGCACTTTATGTACTGTACTATTATGTGTATACAATATACATTATCACGTAGAATATGAAATAAATGCTATTTAAAAATGTTGATTTTTGAATGTGCTGTAATGTTATGCTCACACAACATAATATACATGTATAATTATTTATCATTTATATCATTACAAAAATGTAACTGAAAGATTCAAATGTGGCCGAGTACTTGGTATTTTACAAAATGTAAATAATTTAATAAATATGACGGATTGTTCGCTATTCGAGAGGGATACAAGCTTATCTACAAGCAAAATAATTTAAAATTTGTCAAATATAATAGAACTGCATGCCATCTGCTGCGGCCCTTTGAAACCACTGCCGCCTCAATCATACTACTGTATATTATCTTATTCTCGCAATTCGTTTATTAGTTATTCTATATTGACATCGACGCGAAGGCCATGTATTCCGTCTTTTTACGCCCACAAAATCCAATGGTTTTTTTTTTTTATCATTCGAGAAAAATCAATATCTGATCTATTACTTTCATTAAGAACATTTAAATATGAGTCAAATAAAATTAAGCATTAGGTACACAATATCAATCGGCCCTTTGGTGATGCCGCCGTTTCGTCATCATTCTTTCGCACTAAATATCATTATAATTATTTCTATAAAAATTTCAAATCAACACATAACACTATTTTTTAGTGGTCGACCTTTTTTTTTAATTTTTCTTATTTTTTGTATTACTACAGTGCTCAAACGAATCGTCTATTTGCTGGTAAAATTAATTTTAAATGTGTGCAAACGATTTGCACCGTATAGTTTGACATTTTAAAACTTGGGATGGTTTACGGATTCTAACGATTTCACACACTTCGAAATCGGCTAAAGCATTCAAAAGTTATAGCAGAATAATTATTCGTATAAATGTATATATGCATCACACATAGCCACACACAAACATTCACCCTAAAAACTTACCATACTACTTTTTTTTTTGGCAGTCGTGTGAATAAGGACGCGATCTCCCGTAAATAATATAATTCAATGTAGAAACACCTCACGCATTAAATTATCATATTCACTCACGTGTAGACTAATGGCGATTTTGAAACTTTCGCCCAGTGTGATTTGTTCGATGTCGAACAATTTCAATTCGACATCTTCGATTTGAGATTCTTCTACGTCGTATATCTGCTGGGCGATCGGAACCATTTTAATGGCTTTTTTTACGGCCATCTTGTCCTCCGGCGAGTCTAAAACAATTTTACGATGTATAGGTGTAGATGGGCATTTCCCATATAGGTATATAAAAAGAAAAAAATATTTTAACGGGCTACATAATTTCGGTAGGTATATTGTCGCGAATTTTCATTTTAAACAACGAACGCGATAATTATTATACAGTCAGGTTCTTTATAGTGATGTATTATTTATTTGTTACCTACAAAGAGATTGACCTCAAGTAGGATTATTGCAGTTCATCTAATTATACATTCGTATGGATTACGTATATTCGTTCTCGGAATATTTGAATCGCAATCGCCGTTCAATAGGTACCACAAGGTAGGACAGTATCACGAAGGTCGAATAAAAACGATTATACCTACTTTATGTTTTTGACATGAGTGATTTTCGGTTGTAAAATATTCTTTGATAAACGTCGTACCTATAGTGTTATAGCCATACCTCTAATGCCTGCCTAGTATTTAAATTTAAATATTGTAATGCCTACATCATTAAATATAATATTTTAATTGAGTGTACCGGCGGCGTAGAGAGAAATGGCTGCATAAACGTTCCCGACCGTTATTAAAAATCGACTTTAAACTAATGAGAGAAAGAAAAAAATATTTTATTCATTATTTTATATTATAATGCATGGTATTTGTTTCAAAATTTATTTTCGTTCGCCCGTCTGTTTCATGCACACATCATAATATTAAAGCGTCGGCGATCGACGGATAGGTAATTATTTCTGTTTGCGGTGACCTCGCCATAGTAGGTCCTATACAATATAGGTATAAATAGGTATTGATTTAGTATTCTGTGGCGCTAAAATAAGGCACACGTTTGTTGCATGCATGTATATTATTATATTAATACTGTTTGATATTGTATATTATATTTAATAACTAGCTGTTTTGTATTAGACACCAAAAACACTATAAATAAAAAAAAAAAACGTATTTCCCGTGATTTCCCGTTTACATCCCTGGCCTTATCACTGCAGTTAACCTTTGTTGCCCGTAAATGTTGAAATTGCATTTAAATTCATTTATTTTCCGGACCACGAATAGCTGTCCCGCTGAGCATTGCCCGTGCGCTGCAGTATTAATCGGTGCAGTGGCTTCTCAGACTGGCCGTTACCAAGAACACTCAAGTTCACAATAATTTATAAATAGAATAGATTATGTCTTGTCATAATTATTTTATTATCTGTAACCAATTGCGACCATGTATTATACAAAAAAAAAATATACAAATTTGATTTTTTCGAGCTGAAACGAAATTCATGTGAGAGCCACCCTATATTGACATTTAGACTATAGAGGTTGAAAAATGAACCCTTCCCGAGTCTTAAGGAATATGTGTGCAAAATTTGATTGCAATTGGTTTGGTGGTTTTTGAGTATAGTACATTGTAAGTATTATAGTATAATTTGTTGCTAAATTTACATAAACATCGCCAATGGGTATTATTGTCAAACAACTCTGTTTTCCAACTTAGCGACACTATGGACTACTTAGAGAACTTTTGATAGGCCGTGGACCGCTTGGAAATTAACTTTGTTGGCCTTTTTTTTCTCTATGGTAATTATTGAAAAGATAACACTTAATAGGTGGATTGAAACGGTTGGATCACCAGTTAGGATTGGGAACCACTGCATTAAACTTATTAATATTTTGATAAGAAATTTATAATTTCTGCGAATAAACTCTTAAAAGTTCATTCTGCATGATATCTCTCTGAACTCAGGCGGGAAAAATAAAATTATTGTTCGTTTAACTATTGCTAATAATTGTTTAATTATTGCTCATTTTGCATACTTGATATTTTTGATACCTATTAAAAATCATTTTCGTTCTTACCAAACGGATTTTTATAGATGTCTGTTATGTCTTCCATGTCGTCTGTTCCGGGTAATATTTCTCCGATTTTTTTCGTCACGATTAGTTTTCCAACGCTATACAAATCAAGTAACATACATATATATATATTATTAGCTAATAATTATTATTAATACCTATATCAATATTTTTTGATCATAAATATATTAAAATAATATACGTAAATTATTTTTGGTATGTGTAGCTAGGTACATATAGGCGGATCTATAGTCATTTTTATTAGACTGGGCCATTTTTCGCGATCAATTCAGATTAAAAAAAAAATAAACTAATTTGTGTATTTGAACACACTTTTGTTTGTATGATTTTTACTTAAAAATTAGAGTAATTATCTTATAAGTTGTAATATATTTATAAATCTCAGTATTTTCAATTAAATTATTTTCTTTTGTTTAAAATCGAATGTCAAACTTTCTCGGTTCAACATATCTCTTATATGCTGTTTTATTTGAATAACATTCTGTTATAACTTTAATAATTATTTAAATTTAAATGTTATTAAAATTGAAACAACAAGGAGGTATACATTTTAATTAATACATTACCTAACAAAGATACATTAGCTAAATTAAGAGAATATTACAAAAAGATTATAGAATATTTATAAAACTAGAGGATGATAATATATGGAACCATTTTTTTAAATTCTCCAACTACTTCATCAATGTTGATATTTATTTCCCATAATAATACATCCCCGTGTTATATTGGAACGAAGTTTAGTTTTAAAATGTGTTCTACGCTTTGCATAGTATATGTATACTCTTTCACATACAGCACAGAATTCGTGGTATTGCAAAGAATAGGGGTTGTCAACATTTTTCTTTAATTTTATAATTTTGTTTGATTGAAAAAAAGCTTTATTTTCATTATTTTAGGATTTATGACTTCTTTAAAATGTACCTTGTTTAAAAATATCAATTTTGGCGTGAATTAAAATGTCTTACCAAATATTAGGTATACTAAGGTTACCATACTGATAAGGACGTATTCAGTGTTCGAATTGGGAAACATTATGTAGAGGAGCTCAACTTAAGTAGTTTCTTGATTTAAGCGTTTGTCAATTCCGCGAATTAATGAATTAAGCACAGGATACAATGTATAAACGTGGATTTCATTTTTTAGATTCTGAGTGGAACGAGGAATGTATTGGGTTTACAATTATGTTTATTATTTTTATTTTTTCGTCATTTTTGAACTTCCCGGCGATTTTAAAATAAATGAGAAAAGCCGAGAAAAAAACGGAAAAAATTATAAAATTGTATTATTTTCAAATCGTAAATATTACGGGCGTTCAAAATATGTGTAATCGAACTCTGCTTAGAAGAATCGTTTCTCATTTTAGCAATGACTAATCGTTGCGTATGGTCATATAGACATACCTACATTAAATTTCCCCTCTACCTTCCCAATTTCTCACCTTTTAACAGTGACCCATCCATCGTGCGAAGTATATCCGTATTTTTTTCTTTTTGTAAATGACAATTTAATATATTAGATACGTATACTGAATACATTAATACCGGATGTGATTAACCTGGGCCAAGTAGTTCAAATAGGCCAAGTGCCTATATAGGTCCTATACTAGGATTACTTTTAGAAGTCTGTCTGGAAAAATATCTTTGTTTGGAACGAATAATAATGAAGGTATACTTACTAGTTCGGTAATGTTTTCACTCTTGACCAATATCCGTCTTCCGATTCTTTGAATACGCACATGTCAGCTCTAACCTCCGTGTAAACGAATGTAGTATCGTATCCGATGTTCACTTCACCTCGTTTGACCGCTTCGACGGGCGCTGGACCGCACCTATACATGCCTGCAATACATAAAACGATTGCGAATATATTTTTAAACTATATTTATAATTATGTTATTATGATAATAATATTATTGTTAGTTGTGATGATTTTAATTATAGGCATCTAACTGTACAAACCAAAACAGAAATAGTAAATTTATAATTTGTAAACAATTTCTAATTTCCCCTCCTCCCCTATATTGTATTATAGTAATATTCTATACAAAACAATGAATGACCGAACACAACAATAATATCATAATAGGTAGTAGTAAAATTATGGTAGGGGTGATTGTTGAAATTTGAAACCCTTTACATCATTGACAGTGGCGGATTTAAGGTAGGGGATCGAGGGGTCTTGTCTCCCCCATTGACCTAAGTTCAGATTTATTAATTCAATAGCCATAGTTTATTTTGTATGAACTATTGTTATTATCACTGAATTTTGGACTATAACCCCCTCCAAAATTAAATCCTGAATCCGCCACTGATTCTTGATACGATGAACACCACACAGTATATGAAATTGCATCTCATCGGTTTCATCATGGGAGGGGAGGGTCTTGTTAAATTGTACAGATTTTTGAGTGTATGTGTAAAAAATTAATTAATCAATAGGTATAGATATATAGTCAATAAGTATATCTACGTCATAGGACGAATATTACAATTACGAATTACGTGATGTAGAATAAAAGTTCGAGTACCCGAAAAAAATAAATAAAAATAGTAGTAATAATACGAATCTTACTGTCACTGGTCTCTTGTGGTGTTCCGTCTATGGACTGCCATCCACCGTAACCCTTTGACAAGTCTGGCCTGTCCATCCAGACGTCGTTCCATACGTGGAAGTTCCAACACGAATCGTTAGTATAACTTCCCGGGTGGCTGTCGAGCTTTTCTCCGGCTATGTCGATGTACATGTCGATGGTCAAACTAGTATTTGTATCGTGAGCCGATATGTAATTAGTCACCGACCGGCACGGTATTCCTAAAGCTCTACAAACTGAGCCATATCAACAATTTAAAATCTTTTCTACATCTATATAGGTATTATTATACCTATATAATAGAGTTAAACAGGGTTAGACAGTATCTTTGAAACAAGTATCTTAAATGTGTATTTTAGATGAAATTACTTATGTTGTATATTGCATCATAATACTGTTATGGAAAATATTGAGTTTAGTATTGCGATACTGAAATAAATGAATTGAGTATCTATTATGGGTAAAGGTATGTATTGCCTGTAGGCAGCCGGAGGAGGAGTAGCTGGGTCATTCTCTTTTGGCTTTTTGAAAAAATACATTAGGAAATTGAAAGTGGTTGAACGAAATAGGAGAAATTGTTGGAAATTTCGATTAATGTTTAAAATAAATACCCACTCAAATCTTTTAAGATATAGGTGCAATGTAGTAGCTACCATATGTGTGAAAAATTGAATTACTATTTTATTTTTTATGTATAACGAATTTCAAATATTAAAATTGTAAACACATAAAATGTAAAGATCTAGCCTAGCCAGCCAAGATTTTATTCGGGTTTATAAAAGCCCACCCGGTTTAAAAATATTATTCAATGCTTAATAAACATCTTTGTAAAACCAATACATTTTTCGTTCCACTTAGAATTTAAAATTTAAGAATTACCTATAGTCGGCATATTATTGTACATAAAAAAGCCCAGACCGACCCGTAATGAATTTTAAATTTAAAAGCCCGGCTAGACCCACATGATGTATTTGTACAAAATAACCCCAGCACGAACCGCGTTTAAATTTTAAAAGCCTGGCCTTGTGGGTCCTCAATATGCTCGCGTATCCAACTCTATATACACATATATATTATACAGGTATACATACTCGTAACAATAACTCCGGAAAATACCCAACATTGTCCATATTTGACCGGTTGTTGTGTATTGTAAAATTCATCGAAAATCGGCGTACTACTTATCCACGCAAATGGGCTTGTACCATCTTCGAAAGAACCGTCCCATTTGCCTTCCACTAAACCATAATCGTCTACGGCATTAGTCTGAAAATATATAATTTTTTAAATCACAGAGTTTTCTAAATATTCATGAGTCTGAGAAACATTGAATGTCTGATAAATAATATACAATATACAGGGTGATTTTTATAGATAGGCAATTTATTGTCCTTCCCTACTCTTCCGGTCTAAATCTTAAACTGTTATAACTCATAAACAGTAAATCTGATATTAGTGTTATGCATATTAAAATGTCTATAAAAATATTCTCTATTCAAATCAGTTTTCAAAAGGGGGGGGGAATTTCTATTGCAAAATCAAAAGTATGCACTTATTTAAGATATATAGAGTAGGGGTAGACAATTAAAAATAGTTTTAAAATAAAGCTTAAATAATTCCATAATGATTAGAAAAAACAGAAATTAAATTCATTTAAAATACTCTGAGATAATTGCCAGTTCAAGATAAACAAAAAAACACTCTGTGTATATAATAAATGTACTCAGTGGTTTAAGTGGAAAAACTTCAAAGGGTACTATATTTACTACAAATGAGGGGAGTTCCTGAGAGCTAACTAAACCCAAATAAACGTTAGCCTAACCTAACCCATCATGGAGTCATGACTTCCAAAAATGTTTTCTTCTATACATATTTATTAAACAAAATGTTATGTTAATAGGGTTTAAAAATAAACTGCACCCCTTCCCAAAAAAATCGTCCATATATACCTGCTCAGTAAAAATGAACTAAAATAAAATTTGATTATCGATGTATAATCAAATGGGCGTTTATTAAAGATTTTATTTTTAATAGAACTAATTCGAGTTTCAAAATTTCATAAACAATAATTAAATAAGAAGCAAAAAAGAAAATCCGTCCCCCTTCATCCCTTCCCTCACTTTAAATCGTAGTAGTTAATCAGGATACTAATATTATAAAATATATTATCTGCGTTCGACAGGCAAAAAGGGCATAGGAAAACAATTTAACGACACAGTATATAATTATATGTTTATACTTGCACGTGGGATGTAATTGGACGAATCTAATACATTTGGTAAATCAATACATAGGTAACTTTTTATCGCGTAAGAAACCAATCGTGTGTATTTTGATCTAACCTATTACACCTAACACATACCTAACATAACTACGTATCGGAGTGTACTTACGATTGCAGAAATTGTTCTAGACATTTTTACCGGGTCGGCTCTGTCCTGGTGTGATAAAGACGCTCTGTCCAGTAGCATCATGATAGAAGGTAGGACGACCGCCTCAAACTGTCCGAAAAACCATTGGTATCCTTTAGGTTCTTTGTAAGTACCTTGCCACACTTTACCGTCGTCGTTGAGTACGTACTCGTTCAACTTGATCTCATCGTCCATGTAGACAGTGTCATCTAGAAAACGATTATTTTTGTTTTTTGTTTGTTAAATTTGTATACCTAATATTCTGCGGTAGAGGAAAATCGTTAGAAAACTCACTCGGGCACCAAGGGTTGAACAGTATATAGACCTCCGTTTCAACCCGGTGTTGTTTGACTCCGGCCACGCCCTTTCGGGCCGTGTGCACGATGATTTTCCACACGGAAACCGGTGCATATGGCGGTATTTGAACCTGGAAAATAATTCCGACGTGATGTACTTGGCAAAATATTAACACGAAATTATAATTATACTTTACTATACTATATTACTACTACTATACTATATTATTACGTAGGGTGTGGTGTATTATACGCAAACTGACCTGTACAGTGACCGTGGACCCGGTAAAGTTGCTGAAACGAGCGTCCCATTTGTCTTCGACCAGGTCTTCTTTGTCCTTGACGATTAGCGCCGTGCTCGTGCCTTTAGCTGGAGCTGGCGCGGGTCCTACAGAAATAAAAGAACAATAAATTATTATTATATATTAGTAAAAGCCGTGCACTCTATACATTAGGCTTAGAACCAAGAAAAGTGAGAATAGTGACTATTATAGATATTAGTGTTTTTTTTTTTTTTAAAGTGTGTATGATAAAAAAACAAAATAGTTGATAAATATTAGACACAAATTATAATTTTAATTTGGCCTAAATTCAGCTTACTAGGACTTGTGCCATTTTTTTTTAAATATAAGGAGATATTTCTGGCTTCTCTTAGTTTTAGATTTATGGTAAAATCGTCAAATTTTTTCATTTTTAGATGTTTTTTTTTTGTAACCGTGTCCACCTGTACATAATTTAAATGCCCTCTAATAATACATTATATTATTATTTTAAATGCTTTTTGTATGTTTTTGGCTAAATGTCTAGATTTATATCTATTTTCCCCGACCAGATTATTCGAACCGAATAGGATTATTTATAAAACGACGATAAAATATAATATATTTTATTATTATTTTGTTGATTATTATAGCTAAATTGTGCGCGCAATGGACGGAAAATAACCGTATCAAAGGCCGTTCATTATTTGCTCACGAAATGTTTCTTGGCCGCTCAGTCAAAAATATTGTGTATACGTTCTAATAATATATTATAAGTTCACCTGTCACGAGAACGATTCGGACGATGTCTTTGATCTTGTCGACCGGTCTATTGAATTTAATACCAAAATAAAACGGTTGGCCGCGACGGAATATCGCGGTCGATCCGTCTTGTAGCGATTCGAAACGATCAGCGTGATGTTCCACAGCGTTTTCCATATGATACAGATGAGTCGAAATCACGTCAAGTGCCATGTCTGTCTGTTGTTTCTGTAACTTATCAATAATATTTATTCGTATAATTTGTATTAAAAAATATAATTTTTGGTTCAGGAGACTTATTGCGTTTGTTTATATTTTTGGCTTGACATTATATCTAGCAGTGTGCTGTGGAAACTTGCATGTCATGTTATACAAAGAGTTCAAATATTTCATTATGCTATTTGAAAGCGCTTTTTATGAATGGTTTAAATTTAACAAAAAAAACTATAAGTTTTTTCAACTTTTTTTCTTAACATAATTTCGACTTTGTGTTTACTTAAGCCGGCATCAACATCCCAGATTTCCCCTCTCCCCAAATAAGATTCTTAAGTTAATTTCGTTATTGTATTATAATATTATAGCAGATATTATTATATGTTTATTTTTGTTATTTTATCTGCTTGTCGCGTCGGCCGTCGCTGGACACGGAGTAATACAAATCCGCGAGTGTAGTTTTAAAAAAATTCAAGAGTTCTAATATGAAATTAAAACAGAGCTTTTTTTGGTTTTTTAAAATATTGTTTAAGTATTTATTTCCGCTTTTCAGGGCTTATAATGGAGTTTATCAAACAGCAGGGGCGTATTTAGTCATCCTTTCAGGAGGGGTGATATATTTTTTTCTCTACCGTTAACCTATAGATAATCAAAATTGATGATTTTTCGGCGGGCCCATGCATAAGAGGGGAGTGAGGGTTAAAACCCCTATTGCCTTTTTTTTTAAATGTTTACACTTATTAGTTTTATCAAATTAAAGGTAAGTTTACTTCTGAAAAACTACATTGAAATATAAAAAGTGATCGAAAAATTATAGTTTGTGTTCTTGACTATTGATCAATTATATCATAAATATACATCATAAATATCATAAATATACAATAATGTATTTTATTAAATCATAATGAAACACCACTGCCTTAACTACTTTACGAGTGAACGAATTGCATTAATTTTAATATACCATATATACCATCTACAAGCTGTAAATTGCTTGTAGAATAAAAAAGTTTCTCTTTGTGTTCACCTTATAATAAATATATTTTGTTTTCTTTCATCCAAATTACTATAGTTGCATGTATGCCTCTACCTCTATCATAGTTTACTCACGTATTGCGTTGACTGTGCCTAGTTAACTCCCTACCCCCCCCCCTTTCCTATTACATTACTTTCTACACTTTTATTTTCTTTAATAATATGCCATTTAGTGGCAAAGTTGAAAATTGAATGTGTTAGGAAGACATTTTAGTGTGTGAATCATCCATGTGGTAATAAACGAATAATTTAGATTAAATATGTAAAAATAATAAATAATAGGTACATAAAATAGTAAAAGTAAAGAAAAAAATTGTGAGTAACAATGTAAAAAATAATTTACATGTTCGGGATTCTTGTTCGGGCTAAATTTAAATCCTTAACATATTTGAGCTATTTGCGTGTATGTACCCACTTGATAGATGTCTATTGATAATATTGTTACTAGGTATGCAAGAAATGACAGTAGGTATACTAAATCGTATACTTACCGACTATTATTATTATTAGGTCAATGTAAATACGTGACATAATTAAATACAATATTGACGTAAATACTTAATAATATAATATTATTGTTGGTATACCGCCAATAATAATGATAAAAGTTGCTTTTATATAGGTAGTATTGCAATTATTATAATGTATTTATAATTTATATTTAAATTTTAATACTTTCGAATTTGTATTATTTATAATTTATTTGTATAAAATGTATTGTCAATGTTTTACTGCGGTATTTGTTTTTTAATTTTAGATCCCGAGCATAGCGAGAAAGTATTAGTGGTTCAATATAACGGTGGACAGAAAATCTTGCTCCAATCAAGGAACGGCAAAAGAAATTTTTTTTATGAATTTTGGATTTTTTTGGTGCATTAGGAAGACTATTTGTGATTTTCCTTATAGTTTTCCTAATATTTAATACCTAATTAATAATAACCGGAAAACACGTAGGAAAATGTATAGGAATTTGACACTTTTAAGATTTTTGTCGTTTCAATACATTAAAAATCAATTTCAATGCCGAACCCACGTGGGCACTGCCATCGTTAACATAATATATTAATCTAAGTACTATCGTTTACGTCATATTAATTGAATTTTAGTTGCATGATCATTTTGTTATTTTCCTTATTCGTTTAAATTTTTTTAAATAAAATTAAAATACAAGTAAACATGTTTTTTTGTTGGGAAGGTATGATAAACAAGGTAATTTAGTTTATATAGGTACTCCATGTTACGATAAACCATTGCAAACGAAAAAACGATTGTGAACGGAGTAAAATTAGTAGCATTTTTTCCCAAGATAATCCCGAAATCATCAAAAAATAAACAATAATACATTTCCCTTTTTTTCCTATTTTATTAATCAAACTACAAAGGAAATCGAAAATAAACACCCGTGAGCACTCGTGAAAGTAGAATTTTTCCCCAGTCGACTTGTTAGCCATGCCAATAATTCATTTTTTTAAAAAATTGTATTAAATTATTAATTAATTAATTATTTTTATTCAATAGATACCCATTAATCATATGTAACCCAACGTAATAATGATTATAGAGTGAATTGAATGTCGAAACCACCAAAAGGCACGTTTGATAATTACACTTGTCATACGTCATAACATGTAATTTCTCTAGCTTCATTTGGAGGGTCTGCAGGGGTATATATACAACGCTAAAAAACACGAGATGAGGTCGTTAACGAAAATATTTGGTTCTGAAAATCTAAAAGTGAAGAAATTTACTAATTACTTAGTAACTATATTTATATAAAATGCTAATTTCAATTAATTTTTTTTCTGGATTTCCTGGTAGCGAATATCAGAATAATCTAAGCTTCGAAGAAGTTAATTTTCTTTATTTAATAGAGATAATGCATTCATCAATTTGATGTTGTTGTAGACCTCGTATAATCATAGAGCATGATAAGATAAAACCGATAAGAATAATTATACAACCACATAATTTAAACACCATCTATGAAGATATAACTCAATAAAAATTCAATGAAATTACGGATTTCCATTGTTTGTTTTAAATGGAAGAAGAAAAATATGTGCGCCCCTTATACAGCTAAAATTATGGCGCTCCTAGGCCCAGGCTTGCTTGGCCTATTCGTTAATCCACCCTTGGGTATTCTAAAAAGCACACGCAGACCCTCGTGGAATTCGGAAGATCAGGTAATTTTTAGTGAATATCCGATTTATGTACATTTTTTTAAACAAAGTTCCATGAACAGGTACACCAATTAACCTTCATATTAACTTTTTGAATTTTCCTGGTTACCTCTACTTCACCAGTGAGAGTATTTCCTAAATAAATTTAAATATTTTGTTACGAAAAATACTAATTCGTTCGTTTACTATGAATTTATTAGTGAACACGCAATTAGCAAAATATTACCTTACTGGGTGTTTAATAGACTTTAGTTTTTATATGTGTGTAAAGATTTTAATTGAAGAAATTTGATTAAAAGTACCGGAAAATGAACTAAAAAATAAAATATGACTTAAAAAGTCCAAAAAATTACCTTAAAAATTAAAAATGTAAAATAAAAGTTTCATAAATGAATTTGTAGTTACATAATTCAAATTATGTACTTAAAAAGCTACGTTTCATAAACAGCTAAAAAAGAAAAAAGCATTTTCCTACAAATTCACAGCCCTAGTAATAATGCATACACTCGTACATTATTACTTGCGCACGTATTAATAAAATTGAGTTAAATTTTTTCCTCGATAATAACGGCCCACACAAAACTCCGTCATCGGCATTTGTTGTAATTTTGTTCGTCGAGGAAAGAACTGTGACGTATTCGTAGGTGTACAATAATCTATAATTGTTATGTATGTTATAAAAACGTCATAAATACATAATTATCGTTTTCCGAAACAAAAAAATAAAATCGAAACTTTTTATCTGTATGACCTATACATTAATATTGATGGCGGTCAAATGATTTTGTCATGGCGGTGGGAGGAGGGAGATAGAAGATGAGGCTGATTTGTTTAAATAATATTTAACAATAATTATTACTATTTACGTTAATTAATTAATTTTTTTTTATAAATAAATTGGCATATATATATTATATGTTACTAAAATTAATATTGAAGGGAAACAGGTCGATACGGTCCGATCGATTTCCGGATGGTTAGCTAATAAACTTGGAAAGGCATACGCATAATAATTATTAATCAAAAGATCAAAATTTGGAAGAAATACATCATTGTTGAGTATAACAATATGTAATCTAAAATATCCTTTACCGGTTTGTCATAATGAAAAACCACGTCATATATAATAATAAGCCAAGAGGAAAAAATTCTGAAAGCGCTTTCTACATTTTTGGAATTTCACCATTGAATTTTTTTCAAATTATGCTTTTCGGTATTTGTGGTTATTCAAATTATTTTTTCTTTTATTATAATTTTTTTTTTTAAAGGAGTCTTTTTTTTTATTTGAAATATTGTGTTTTAAACAGATTTAGTGTTGCATGTATTGAATATAAATGTTTCAGCTGATCGTTTACCTTGCAAGGATCGTACAAGTTTGGACGACCGATTGTAAAAAAAAAAATCATAATAATAATAAAATAAAAAAAACGATGATTTCAAAAAATCACGAGCTTGTTCAAGAACCAGTTTAAAACATTAGTATAAATTAACGCTTTCGTGACCTGCTTGTATAGGCAAATATTTATGCGTGTGTGCGTTTTTTTAATACCTAAGTGGCTAAGTACTTTTATAATATGGTAAATATAGGTATGTGTCATTACTTGGTGAGAAATGGAGCCACTCTCCCCCTGCTATTTTTGAAAAATCGACAATAAATTATCACAGTTATGTACAAAGTAATAATTATTTGTTGTTCTATTCTGTACGTATTTTTTGCTTGTTTCGAAATCGCATAATAATATTACGGGCACGTTTTTTAGGTTTGTTGTTAGATATTATCGTGTCATGTATTGTATGTGTATAAATAAAATAGATATATTAATATATAATTATTATAATAATACCTATAGGCTGTGTAATAGTTGATAATAAACAAATATAAACTGCGATGTGGTTTTTTTATTCACGATGTAAAGCTAAATGCGTGCATAAATTATAATAAATCTTCCATCTTTGGAATCGAACGTTTTTTTGCGCGTGGACGATAAATTAATTTATAACTACACGTCGAGATAAGAAAAAAAAACTGATTTTGACTAGAAGATAATAACATATTATTATGAATGAAAGTACACGTTAGTAACAAAATACATTGTATATTGGTATGCGGGTACCTACTATCGTTATGGTTTTTATTATGATATATTTTTTAATTGTACGTAAAAAACTTAACTATGGGTTCTGGAAACCTCGTTCCAATCAAAAACGTTATAACATCCTTTTGTAGCATATTTGATTTAGTTGGCAGCACATCGGGGAGGTTATTTTAAAATTTGTTTTGTAGTTTTCCTAATAAATTGGAAAATGCCAATTTTTTGTATAGTTTTCATTGATTTAAGGTTATAATTTGGCAACAAAAGGAAAAATGCGACTAATAATACTCTGCTTAGAATCGTTTTTCTTTCACCGCTGTGTTTAGATATAAATTAAATTACTCTTCACATTCAAACGCTTCTAAATTATCTTCTAAATCAGTGGCATATTCACCAGCAGTATTAGACTTGTTTAGTGTGTATTACTTTATAAAAAGACAACCTATACGTTTATGTTATAGGGTCTATTAAATTTCAAATTTCACATAAATTACTTATTTAAAAAAAATGTTTACAATCATATATTCTAAAATGCTACATTATCATAATTGTTTTTCATTCTTATGTTTGGGAGGATGGGGTGAACTGATTTTTTGTTTTTCTATGACGAATTATATTAAAAATTCCATAATTATATACAGTATTAGTTTAAATACATTTTGGTAATGAAATTTTTGATTTCCGTCAACCCGTCAATCCGACGAGTACTACTCAAATGCCATCCATTGTGCTGCCACATAAATGATATTTCATTATAATATACTCTTCCCTTATTTAAACTTCAAAGAATTGGAATATTTCTTTAACGGGCCAATGAAAATCAAAAATTTCAATACCAAAATGTTTCTCGACTCCGTCTATTTGTGGAATTTTTCATATAGTTTATTGTTATTTGAAAATTGAAAATAGGTACCTCACTGATTCTTTCCCAAAAGTTTTTATGCGAATAATTTTTTGAAAAAATAACTATTTTATAGAAAATTTGACTGTAACATGAAATTTGAAAGACCCTGTATAGGCGTACCTATATTATAGACATTTTTCACAAATCAATATATCATCATTTCCGAAAAAAAAAATATTATTAATAATCGCCAACGAATTTTATTAAGAGTAGGTAAGTATAATTTTAAATCGAGAAGTTAATTTCCTACAACCAATTAGTAACATTATATGATAACTTAATCAGTTCAATTTAAATATATAATAAATATATACTATAATCAGTTGAAATAATATAGTTAATATTATTTAATCTAGTCCAATGTGTTATATTACATAATATTTAAGTATTTACATGTGTTTATTGAGTCACATAAATGCAATTATATAGAGTGATCAACATAATCTGGGCCTCTGTCCGTATTGTTATATATAAAATAAATAAATAACGTACAAGACACTCATTATTCCTGAAAGTGTTAACATATTTCAGAATTTGTAGGGGACAAAACACCAAAGTGATAAAATAGAATGGTTATAACGGTTATGTATATAGTTCGCTGTTTTGTAAATTTTGTAAAAACAAATTCCGAAAAAAAGTTAATACTTTCTTTTAAGATGCGAGTATCTTATATTATGTTGATCACTCTGTGTATAATAAAATTGTCTACAGTTTCAATTTAATAATATATTGTGTTACATAAATGTTTTAATGTAAGTATTATATATGAGTATCTGATAAAAACAAACGTTAGGTACATTTTCGCGCTGTTTACAGAAATGTTGGCCTATGGTAACATTGCCGATAAAAGTACAGTTGTGGATCCAAAGTTGAATTTTTTTTGGGAAGGAGATTAAAAAAAATTACTAGGTACTAAGTAAAAAAAAAAAGAAAAAAAGGGTAATGCTTGGGGTGTGTGGAGACACTATTGTTGGTGGGAAATTGAGAAGGTAAGACACATAATAAGGTTTTTTAGTTTATATCTTTAAGCATCGATAAATCATTGCTAACTTATTTTTTGATTGGAATAAGATATTTGGTAGACAATTTGTTCAAAACCAGAAAAAAATAATAAATACAAATACATCACAGTACCGCCAAAAAAATTATTTATCGCTCTTCTTCGCTTATCTTTCTTGAAAATTGTAAATTATATATTGTGTAAACAAATAATTATTTATATGGAAGCAAAAACGTTTGTATAGTCTATAGTCTGAGGGTGGGCGAGGCCTCTACCTTCCCCTATAGGTAATCTTCATAATATTATTATGGTAAACATGGTATATCAAAAGTGTATAAAAAAAAAATTATTTTGACATTAAAACACATCATTTTTTATTATTTTATAAGAAATATTTATTTACGATACATTTTTTATAAGATATTCGAATACTTATAGGATCGGCCGAAAAAATGTTATTCATACCAGGCAGAGTTACGACATTATTAAAAAAGCCGGGAGGTACCTACTTTATATTTGTAGTAAGTGGAGAGTTTGTAAGGTAGGTATGATATCGATAAGATATATGATTGATGATAGTTAATAATAATATAATATTACCTCGGTGTATACGATCACAAAATATTAAGCGATTACGAGTGAAAGTCCTCCGCGGTTTGAGCGTGTGTAGATATAATGTGTACGAAACGAAATGAAATGTTTTGAAAAATAAAAAAACGTAACAATTTTAATTTAACGTACGTTAATATAAGTAGATAGATACCGAAGCTGTCGACGACGGACTACGGCGATGCTGTGCGTCGGACACGGCACGGGATTCGGTATTTATCGGGATAGTAACCTAGATTCGACTACTCCTTCCCGACTCGACGGCCTTCAAAGTGGACGTCGCAGAATGGCCAATATTTTTACTATTAAATTAAAAAATTATCATTCGTCGTCTTTGTCGCGCGTGTGTGTGAATCACTAAAGTCCGTGTCGTTCGCGGAATCGCCACGCGTGTTACCATACACCGTACACCGCGTATACCCGGTTATACCTAACCGTTCGTTCCGTCCGTCCGGAAATCCCGTGCCTTCGTCTCGTCCTCGACACCAACACGACGCGTCCGGTCTGATTATCATTTTTTTATTATTATTATTTTTTTCCCCATTAACATGTGCGTATTAATCGAACGGGGAATTTTCGACGATTATTTCTAGTGAAAAGTCACGCGGCTTATCTATGTATACAATAATAATAATATTATATGTAACCTAGTATAAAGGCCGTAAAACGTCATCGATAAACCGCGATTTCATATGATATATCAAATTTATATTATTATATTATATAACGGGTATTATAATTCAAAGCTTGGGAGTTGGGACTTTTAAAACTCACAAAATCTAACACTTCAAAATGTAAGGAATACTTCTAGTAGAAAAGTTCTCCACAGAAAAAAAAAATGGAAATAAACAACATTATCCGTTCAGAATCTAAAATGATTAATATACAAAATATATTTTTGATAATAAGTACAAAATTTTTAAATGAAAAAAAAATTACTGAAATAACTGAATTGATAATTTTTGTAGTCTTGGAAAATTATTGTATTTAATAATTTGGAGCCGTTAATATAGGAGCTTTTAAATTCACCTACCATTTTTTGCTTTTTTAAATATTTTTATGTGATTTTCTCAGAACGTTTTTGAAGTTTTTAAGCGTTTTTTTTTTTTTTTTTTTTTTTGAGGATTTTAAGTGCTTAAAGTCCCGAGCTCCGTTAATATTATAATTAGGACTGGGGATTTAAATGCACTTATTTACATTGTTTTCCAAACTTGTTGTGTGATGCTTGTTTCGTTACAAATTCGTTTAATGTACTCTCGAATGAAAATAATTAGACATTTTATTTTTCAATTTTTGACCATTTTAGAGTTTTTCGGGCACTTTTGAGATTTTAGGAATCTAAAATTAAAATTTGAATATGTAATTTTATTTTAAATCTTAACAAGATTTTTATATAACAAACTACTAAGTACTCGACTACTCATGTTATATTATCGGATAATATAGTAATATTAAAATCCAAATAACAATATATAGTGGTTCGTTTTGTATTTTTGTTACAAATTCATTTCGTGTATTTTCCAATGAGAATGCGAAATTGTATTGTTTAAAGTTGCGTAAAAAAATATAACTATTCTAATCTAATGACAAAAAAGGCGTTGCTATTCAAAAAAAGTATTTTTTAATCAGTGCTCAAACAAATATGATATGTCTAGTACTCCGCGCTTGTTTCGGTTTTAATGAGCCCCGTGGTATATTATTATACAGCTATAGGTACAATAATTAGATATACTAATAAATAAATAGATAAAGCGTTGTCCAGGACCTCTCAAAATCTAGCACCGGTACTGTTATTAATGCGCACATGCGCGCTAAAAGGATTAAAAACTGAATTTTAATTTACAAACAAAACCGTCCGAATCTTAAAACTATATATTCTAGTGCAATATTTATTTTTCAAAATGCTTCAATGATTTCAAAATGATCTGAAACCGTTTATGAGTACATACTACTGGACCGTTTCGAATTTAAACCTTATTAATTTCAAAACGTTTTAGTTGCGCCGTATAATTGCACTAATTGTGGCATAAACATTTGTAGGCATCTGTGTGCGATTGATTTGGGACTGGACCGGTACACACACGCTTAAAAATTGACTTCTATTGTTATATTATATTATATTGTATGGAAGGGAAATTATTATTGATATCGCAAATTTAGTTACCCCCGAAAAGATTGACTTTATTCGTCGCAAAAGAATAATTTATTTTACCACTCCTACAGAATAACAAACGGTTACCTACCTATAGGTTCCAGCTATTATAAGTATTATGTCAATAACCATCATAGAATTAATATACCAAATATTTTTGTTAGACTAACACCCCGTAATATTGATAAAAATTGATTATCTATACTAAGTATAAGTTGATAAGGACTTGATTTGATGCCTCCCCACACTGACAGCTGTGAGTGCTATAACACTCATTGAATATTTTCATTGTGAAGAAATCGCTGTTTCCGATTCCATTTTTTACAATATACCCATAAGATACGACAACAATGGTCGGGAGCTTCAATATTGTCCGTACGTAACGCCGTGGTTAAACACGTGCGTATAATTTTACAAGGAAAAAAGATGGAATACGTAGGTATATACGGGAAGTACCATCACGACTATCGGCCGCGGTTTACGAACACGAAACGGCAAAATATCTCAACCTATAAGGTTAAACTTTGTTACTGCAATACCACAAGTATATTGTACTGTATGGTACTATATATATTGTACCAACGTAATAGACCTATAAAGATATCTTTATCATTTTATCGAGGAAAAGTTTTCTATTAAAAGGTTGTAAATTATTATATCGTTATTGTTCCGTTTTCTATGGTTACCGCAATAACGAGCACATTATTACAATAAACCTATAAACAGTCAATCATTTATTATAATATTGTACAATGCTTAAAAATAAAAAAAAACCTCTTTTCGGACCAATTGTTGATATATTCCGGAATTTCGAATTAATAATCGTTTGAATCCAAACCAAACCCATCTATATCTATGTATAATACATTATATATAATTGACATTTTTTCATAATACTAAAATAATAAAATGCAACGACTAAAAATAAATAATTTTATAATTTTAAAATGAATGTATATTTTTTTATTGTATAAACAGAATAACAGAATAAAAGTCTGAAAAAAAATGTGAAAATGTAACTATTATGGTATATAATTCATTTTTTATTTTTATTTTTTTTTGACGACCAATTTGCAGCCACTATCAATATTGTTCGTGATCAGTTCACCGTATACATATATGCACAATTAGATGAAGGCTAGTGGGTACTCAGTACCTTTAAATGTGTGTTTAGCCCCTCCTAGATAATTTGATTAACACTTATGATGCTCTTATACAGTTATACTCGGTTTTGTATTCATTTTGTTCCCAGTTAAAAATTCAAAAAGGTCGAACAAATTAATCAAAATTGAAAATAGTAGACACACCAAGTTACTAAAACATGTTTATGAAAAAAAAAAATTATTATTATTATTAAAAATATTGTAAATAAAGTGATTTATACTGTTTTAATATAGTTTTTAGTCCCCCCCCACCACAGATAAATTTAAGGTCTTATTTGGCCTAAGCGTGTACCTAAGCGAAATTAAATGAAATCTATTTATTAAGAAACGTTCGTGAGTAGTAATAAAACGTTGAAAACAATATAAATAATGAGAGCATGGAACGAGGCAACGAAATATGTATATTTTTAAAGTATGAATAAAATACAAATTAAAACGTATACTATGCATTTAAATATAAAGAAGGACCTTTTAAATATTATACAATTGTGGTTAGCCGATATTCGTAGGTATACTTGATAGTGTATTAAACATAATTGGAATTTTAGACACACTAATAATAATTTTATTTTAGATTCTCATTATAGCAAACAAGCTATTATTACAATATTTTATTATTATGTTAAGGTGTTTTTTTTTTTATCTCCATTATTTATAGTAAAAAACTTTTTTAGTTAATAAAATTGCTCAGGTTTTTTGCATGTGGTATATCTTACTTAAAAGAAATGGATTCATTTCACGACGATATGTTATTTGAAAAATGTGTCTACAACTGTTGATAATATTATCAACAGTTTTTCAACGATTCTTAAAAAACCGCACACTTACAAACATGATACATTGGTTTTATTTTTGTCGATTTTTGAGTTTCCTTGGTTATTTACAAGGGAAAAATACGACTAATAATCATTAGAATATGCGTGATTAGTGCCGTCTTGATACTTTTTATCAGTCTAAGTTATCAGTAATAATTGGATCATTTGAATCATGGATTAAGGTATACAGGACTGGATACGAGATGAATATTATGGTTACGAAATGTTATAGAACAGGCGGAGTGCATGGGGTCACTCCGCCCATAATATTAAAAGTTTAATGGTAAAATAACCATAATGGTTTTCAGCAATAAAATAAGTACCTATTCAAGTACTTAAAATGTAGAATATAATAATACGATTTGATACTTCAAATCACATTAACACGTATAATTTTATTTATTTGGATCCAGTAATCATATTTGATAAGGATTTTTAATACATTAAAACCACACGAATTACGAGTATAACTTACTAGTTAACTGTGAGCTACACTCAGAACCATTTTTCGATTGCAAAGATTTTTTGTCGATTTCAGACAGAAATTTTTAGTACCTATATAGAGGGTGATTTTTTTATCATGAACCAGAAATTACCTCAGAGGATTTTATGTAAATTTGATTTCTTTTTTTCTAATTATTATGGAATCATTTACGCTTTATTTTAAAACCATTTTAATTTTTTTACCCCTAATCCACACACCTTAAATAAGTATATACTTTTGATTTTAAAATAGGATCCCTTCCTTTTGAACACAGATTTGATTAGATAATATTTTTTTAGACATTTTGATATGCGTAACACTAATATCATATTTATCATTTATGAGTTATAACAGTTGTTATGATTATCGTTAATTAACGATAATGTTTAGATCGGAGGAGTATGAAAGGGTTATAGATAAGCAATTTATTACACTCTCTTTTCTTTTTATAATTGAATATTTATTTTATTTTTATTTTCAATGTTTTTTTTTCAATCGAGTTTTGTTTTACGGGGACGCAAATGTAAAGAAAAATTAAATTTTTGTTTTCATCCCTTAATAACTGAAAAAATAACTTCATTTTGCACTTTTTAAAATTTTCAAAATAGTCAATTTGTAAAATAAATATAATATTCTAAACATTTTAATGCACCATTCTTTAATTCTTATATATTCGATCAATAGTTTTCTTAGTAA